TTTGGCAAATTCAGGAGAAACCTGCATTCTAGTGACAGAGGCTTTTGATTCCATCCTATAAAATACAGCTCCTCTCATTTCTCAAGTTTGGTTGGTGTTATAAGATCTACAAACTTCGGCCTTCCATTAGGAAGTAGAGGAGCCTCAGCGCTCCTCCTCCTCCAGCTTCTCGGACACCCCACCAACTAGCCCCGGATCCCAGGCTCAGCCCTGACATTTATCGGCTCTGAGCCCCCAAGTCAATCACTTCAGCCTCAGTTTCCTCTGCAGGAGAGGGTTGGATTGGAGCATTTCTAAGGTCCTTCTGGTGCAAGCCTTCCTGGCTGTATGATGCGTAAGCAGAAAGCAAAGAAAGTGAAAGTGAATGTATGGAACCAGAGTCAGGCAGTTACAACTTCAGCCCCCACAACGTCAGGGAGCCGCCACGGGGGGCGCGAGGCTCGGAGCGATACATTGTAGCCCAGCCGTCTGCAAACAGGAGATGGGGCTGGTGTCCCGTGCCGACCCACCCCCAGCACCGCGGGGTGGCGGGACCCGCACACAACCACACCGACGGAGAACGACGAGGCCCGCGGACCCCGGGTGGCCCAAGGGTCCCTGGCCCCGTTTTCCAGACGAGGAAACTGAGTCTCGGAGGGAAACGAGGTGCCCGAGGTCCCCAGGAGTCAGCCCGCGCTGCTCCCCCGCCCCGGGCTAGTTCAGCGTCACGGCCCCCAGCGAGGGTCTCCCACGCCCTCGGCTCGAGCGGACCCACGGGCTCCCCGCGCGCGGCTCCCGCCCGACCACCCGGTGCAGAGGAGGAAACTGAGGCCCGGCCGCCTCGGCGTTCCCCCCACCAAGCGCCGCCGGCCGGAGGCCGCCAGGGGACACGCTCGTCAGGCCCGGGGGCGGCGGCTCCTGCACCGTCATCGCGCCGCGCGCCGGCCGGGCAACCGGGCGGATCGGGGGAGGGTCCGGCCGCGCCCGGCCCTGGGGGCGGCGGGCACTCACCTCCGGGGATGCCAGGGGTCGGGGTTCTCCGGCCGCGCCGCTGCTCGTTCCGCCGGGTCCGGGTCGTGTCTCCGCGAGTCACAGGCCGAGCTCCGCTGCCACAAATGGCCGCCCGCGCCTGCGCACTGCCCGGGGTGGGGGCGGGGCCGCGCCTGCGCAGAACGCGGGGGCCTGGCGGGCGCAGGGAGCACGTGGGGGCCGGGCCGGGGCCTGGCGGAGCTGCGCGAGGGCGGGCGACGAGGAGAGGCCGGGCCGGCCCCCGTCGCCTCCCCTCTCCCCTGCGCCCCCCCAGCACTCCTGGACCTCCGGAGCTGGAGGAGCCGCGCGGGTAACAGGCGGGAAAACTGAGGCCTCATTGATTCAAATTGTCTGAACCCCCTCCGCCTCCTGCCCGTCTTTCCTCGTCTGCCTTTTTAAGCACGTGCCAAATGCACATACTTGACGTTGCCCCCACACAGAATGCACGCCGCATGCATGCTCCTTCCCCATGCATCCATCTCCTCTAGCTCATCATTTACGTTTGCCTTAGCAAGCGTATGGCCAGCCCTGTTGTAAGGAGCCAACTTTTCTCTTTGTTTCAACAATGTATAAATATGGCTTGTGTAATTGACGATGCATTCCCCAACAACCGCTGTGGTATAGGTGCCATATCCCAATAGCATATAGTCAATAGGCATTTCTGCTATTTTGAGTCTAATAAAAACCTACTCTGATTCACGCTGGCATAATTGGCATTAGCTAGCTGAACTGATAGGAAAAATCCTGCAATATTTATTACTGGGAATTTTTGCTTTTATATCAGTCATAAATTGATATTAACTGGAATCCACGAGCTCTCAAAAGTTAAACAAACCCACTAAATGACCTCATCTGATTGGTATGCACCATTCCACACCCATGGTCCCCCAGCTGCATTTCAGTATTTTGTTCTTGGCCATGGGGACTGGAGCTCCAGAGAGACTGAACTTATATATAAGATGCAGACATCATCTGTGTAGAGTATAACCGAACCCTAGTTGCTGATGAGGCCGCTGAGTGTATATAGAAAGGAGCAGATGGTTAAGGACAGAGTTCTGAGCCACAAACAGTGGGGGGTCTGATTGTGTGATGGTCCAGCCAAGGTGACTGAGTAGTCCAGCTGGCTGTAAGGATCTTCTCTTCTTCCACTCCTTTACCTGTGCTGTCCCCCAAGTTCTTTGCTATTACTTAATCATTAACAAGCATTTATTAACTTCTGCTGAATACATCAGGCCCTGGAAATACGAAGGCAAAAGCAAAACAATCCCTCCCTTCAAGAGGTTTACATTTTATCAGGAAAGACAATGTGTTCAAATACAATATTCTATAAAATGCATTCAAGGTTATTGGGGGAAGATGATCTAGAATCTGAGGTTTCTTCTGAAACCAAGAAACGCTTCAGACAGCGGCCCCTTCCAAGAGCTGCTAAAGAAAATAGGACTCCATAGAAGTGAAGGAAGAGGAGGGGTGCCTTCCAGACACCTGTGGAGCCAGTGCAAGGGTGAGCAGACTGGTGGGTGGGTAAGGAGCAGTAAACAGGCCAGTGGGCATGGACTGTACCGTGTATGAAGGGGAGTAAAGCCCCGTGAGGCTAGGTAGGTACATCAGGGCCAGGTGGTGATGGTCTTTAAATAGATAGGGAGCCATTGCAGTTTATAGAGTACAGGAATGATGTGGTCATATTTGTGCAACAGCATCAGAGAAAGCCACTCCACTTCCACTTGGGGTGCCCTTAGAACCCCAAGAGGGAGATTTAACCAGCTTTTCTCTGGGGGAATGAATCTCGCCTATTGTACCATTTGGGGCCTAGTCCTCACTCCTGCCTGGGTCCATAGTGAGGCCCTGAGCTTGCTCTCCCAGATCAAGATGGGCTACATCTTTCCTATAGGGTTCCAGAGTACCCCTGAGGATGTCAGGGGGTCACTTCTCTAATGCTGTTGACTTGAATCACCGGGCTGTGTTCCTCCCCACTGATAACCACCAGTGATTAGCACCCTGGTTCCACATGACCATTTAAAATCCCCTCTTCCAGTGGGGGTTACCCTGTTACACTGAAAACCACTGGTACTGCTCTCATATTGACCACTGTTATTTCCTTCTGTTGTTTTCTCTCATCTCTGTTCTTGCCTAGCTGTTACATTGTTTTGTCAAACTGTACCCTTCAGATGTTCCAGTTTTTCCTGATGTCTGTCTTTCTTCATTGGCTCTCCCTACAGCTTAATCCACGTACCCTGGCCTCACTTGCCTCTCCAAGCCTGGACGTCTGGCCCTAACTCTGACCATCCTAATTCCATGAGTGAATTCTGCACTCCCACTGCAAACTCTAAGCTTCGTTAGGTTTGCTTCCTCAGTCTAGAATGTCTTGTGGTCACCTAGCTGACACTTCTCCAGCAGGAATCAGGTAGGAAAAGACCCTTGTCTTCTGGACACTCCATAGAGGTCGTTGGGACCACCCTCTGGGTCCCTGTGCTTTTAAGGGAGAGAGGAAGGAGATGCATTTGTGCAGAATCACCTCCTTTTCCCCTCCTTCCACCAAGACAGCCAAGCATGCTGCTTGCTTTGGGAAAATGGCCAAGCCCAAGTGGAAGCAGCCCATCCTGGGAGGTCCAGCAAAGATGTGTGAAGCACCTACTACGTGCAAGGCACCGGAGAATGCAAAGATGGAGACAGACCCTGTTCGCTCAAGAAGCTTAACATTGAATAAGCAGGGATACAACTGCACATGTCAGTAAGGGCCCCGTAACAACCCTGGATAGCCAGGAAGGCTTTGTCTTTGTATTTTTTATCAGAACTGATATTGTTAATCAATGAAAGTCATCGTCCATATATGTTGAACTTAGGGTGCTTTAAAAATATAATCAAATGTTTAATGAATGGCTGGCATAGAATGGGAAGATACTAAAAGTTCTAAGATCCAGTCCCCATCCTCAGGGAACTTTACAGATTGGGTGGAGGGAGGGGACACAGAAGTGGCAGGTTAACTGAGGCAGCACCGGCTTTGTGCCAAAGGAGTGACCAACTTGGTCGGTGGCATAATTCTAGTCCAGAGGGTGGACAAGCGCCTCAGCCAGGGCCATCAGGAAGGCTTCATGCACGGGGTGGGGAGGGGTGGGGGTTTTAAGGCTGAATTCTGGAGGGGGTGGTGTCTAGATGGGGGGAGAGAGATAGGAGAAATATGGGAGTACTGAATGGTCTGCTGATGTCCCTATGCATACTTCATCATGGACATAATTCTGGGTCTTGAAAGGCTCTGCCAACAATCCATGCCCAAGGCCTGGGGGTCCTTACTCAAGGTGGGGACAACTGGGGAGAGTCTGGGCCTGTCAGTGGAATATTTGTAATACAATGACTATCCGTCAGTCAATCAGTAAACATGTATGAAGTACCTACTATGTGCTAGGCACTGTGCAAAGCACTTAGCAGGCAAACGCCATTCCCTGCCTGCAGGGAGCTCACGATATAATGGGGGACACAACATACAAACATACACACAAATAAACTATATACAAGATAAACAAGAAATAACAGAGAAGGCACTAGAGTCTGATAAGCAGGATTAAGGAAGGTTTCCTGTAGAAGCTGGAATTTTAGGGAGATCAGGTCAGAGCAGCTCAGTGTTTGCTGGTGAATGTTTAACAACTGGCTCTCACCACCCCTAAAAAATGTACACACTTAAGTTTGATAAGCATTATTAACATTTTCTCCATCACTTTCTTCAGACTAGATAACAGTAGAACGAATAAATTAAGCCCTGATTTGTAGTGTTTGTGGATTTCTGAGGTGTAAAGGCGAACACTGAACATTTAATAGTTGCAGTCTCCAGCACCAACTTGGTCTTTGCCAGTGGTCTGGCCAGTTGTTGAATTTTTTTTTCAGTCACAGAAATTCATAAAGTCCTGTCTACTAAGGCTTGGAGTGGTTGTGATCAGTGTTAGTGGAAGGACAGCCCACATCAATAAAGTATCTTTTTAAAAATATTAATATAGATAGCATTTATTTAGTGCTTCGAAGTTTACAACAAAGAATTAACAAAGATTTTTTAAAAAGAAAAATTCAGCAATTAATTAATAGCATTATTATAATATTATTAATATATTTAAAAAATTTGATGTTATATGCAATGTTCCACACCCAGAGAACACTATTGCTACCACCACTGGCACCCCACCTCTGTGATGGTTAAAGATGAAGTATCTTCTCATCTCCCTCAATGAAGTATCTTTTGAAGAAATAGGCTGATAAGGTTAAGTGGAGGGTTCTTGAAGGGAGAAATGGGAAACATGAGCAAGAGTCAGAGATCCAGTTGTGAAGGACTTGGAATGACAGGATTTTATTCTGTGGGCAATGGGGAGCCAATGGAGATTTTTGAGAAAGACAACTGTTGATCAAAGTAGTATTTTAAGGAGATGATGATGCCTTCCATAGTTGGGATGGATTGGGGGGAAACCAATTAAAAACCACTGCCGCAGTCCAGATATGAGGTGAAAAGGTTCTCAAAAGGATCCTGGAAAGGACCTTGGGCATCATCTAGTCTAACCTCTCCCCCCGCCATTTTACAGATGAAGAAACCGAGACCGAGAGATGAACCAATTTGCCCAAGGTCACACAGGTAGTAAGAAGCAGGGGAAGAACTTCAATCCAGGCCCTCTAACGCCAAAGCCTGGCCTTCCCTCCTCTGTACCATAGACATGGAAATAAAAGGAGCCATGTATTAACAGCCCTTGGAGACATATTCAGTTGGAAGATGTACTCTGTTGAGGTTCAGGTGACATCAGCCCTCTGTGGCCTTTAAGGCCCCTCCCAGTTCTAATCTATGATGCTACAAGCTGTTCAGCAGATTTTCTGGGACTGGAGCTTAGAAGAAAGGCTAGGATTGGAGACCCGAGTGTCATCTGCACAAAAGCAGTAATAGAGCCCGTATTAGGGTGATGAGATCGCCAAGAAAGGCAGGATTGGAGAGGAAAGCTAGAGGTCCATGGACCAACGCCCACCAGGGGAGGAGGACCCGAGGAAGCTGCCAGACAAGGAAGCAGAGTCAGGAAAGTGGAGACTCTCAGAAGCTAGGTCTGCATAAGAAAACAGATCCAATCTACTGGCTGGTTTTACAAGTGTAGCCCTCAAAAGCTCTGAGGCTCTTTATCTCAATCCCCCTCTCACTGAGTCAGATACCCCAAAGCAAACTTGTGTCTCCCCTTTGGATTCTGGGGGTCCTCCTAAAGAGTTGGGGTACTTCTCCAATGCCATCACTCTGGTGTGTTTTCCTCAGTGACAATCACCAGGAGTGATTAAGGCCAGTGTCATTTAACCAATTAAATGAATTCGTTTTTATAAAGGGATATTTACTGAGAAGACATGGCATGAACAGTGGTACAAACCTTTGGCAGGTTTCCACAGATATTCCACAGATATCTTGTGTTCAGTGGCATTATTATTAATATAAAAATTAATCATTTGAATTAACTTATGTCTCATAGTGTCATGAAACTACATGAAAAGTCAGGCTCAGTCAAACAATTCTCAGCTTAATTTATAAACCATAAGATAGTAGAAATGTGAGCTGCCCTTGGTGTGAACACTGATAGTGACAGCTAGTAAGTGGTGTTTGTGTAGCACCTTCGAGTGCTTACCATAGGCCACCTCATCTGATACGCTCTAGAACGTCCCTGCCGTGTAGGACTTGGCAGTCTCAAACCAGATGTCCTCCACGGCCTTCTGACCCCTACTGAGCAGGTTCTGCAGGTGCATCCAGCCTGTTCTGGCAGTGATCATGATATAGTCTTTGTTCTCGGGGTAGAGCTGGCTTGCATAGGCAGACATCACGAGCGACTGAGAAAATCGACTGCTCACCAGCAGAAAGAGGGCCCCCCTTTCTTCAGCTGTCAGCGGGATGACGCTTTCGAAGCCGGCCAGCACGTGGCCGCCCGCGGCGAGGGGATCCTTGCTCTCCATCATCATGTACATGATGGTGATGGCTAACTCAAACACGTAATAGCCTTGGCTCATGTCCTCAAAGTCCAGGACTCCAGACACGTGACATGCTGGGTCTCCAGAAGCCTTGCTGCTGGTCTCCGCCAAGATGTTGTAGCTATTCAGGTCCCCATGATTGATGCCTGAAAGCAGACCAATGAAACCAGTGGAGATGGGGCAAGGGGTTAAGCCCCCCAAATCACTAGTTTTATATTTTCACTCTCACTAAGGTCCTTCACACCATTTATTGGAAAAGTCAGCAGAAAACGAATTGGCACCCAAACTGTGCCTCTTTGCTTCACACAAAAGCACAGCCCTGAATACAGAAAGGACAGAAGCAGATTTCTCTGCTTTCAGGAAGCCTTCATGAAGCCAAGAGATGGGAACTAGAGAAATGTGGATGTTCTGAGCATGACCACTGAAAGAGCAAAGAGAAAAAATTAACTTTTATCACAGAAAGTTTATATCTGAATAAAGCACAAATTATATTTCAACAGAAATTCAAAACCCACAAAGGAAATTAAGATTAATTTGAGATTCACTGACTTTATCCCAGAGCTTTGAGAATAGTTTTAATTTCACCCTCAAATCTCATTATTCTTCTTGTGGGCAAAATGCTGCCTGATGGTGGTGATGGTAGGGGAGTCAGGAGGCCATAATGAGAGTCGAGCTTGGAGGCTTTTGCATCAGGCAGACCCAGAGCCGTGGGCTGGGAATCCCTGTTTTATCCCATTTACCCTGAATGCCATGGATCACTGTGCAATTTTGTACTTCTGTGCTATAGACACAATAAGATGTCAAAATCCAGAGGTTTACTCTAAGCACTTGACTATCTGGCCCTTCACGTTACTTGCTTCTACATTATTTAAGGAATAAGAGATATGTCCCCCTCCCCCAAAATGACTACCATATAATAACACAATGCTCTTATAAGAAGTTATTGAAAAGGTGATAATGATGTAGTGCCTGGCTGGTCCTAGGACAACAGGCATACAGTCTGGGTGAGGCCAGCAATGGAGACCCTCACTAAATCCAGACAAGCACATCACCGGGGCGGTGTGTGTGTGTAAATTTCTTGGCCAGAGCCCCTCTCTAAGACCATCCAGTCAGTTACTGAGGGGCCTCCATCTGCCTGGGAAGAGGTGTTTCCACACTGACCAATGGCAAATCTTTGCAGGACTGAAGAAGGAATGGTGCATCCCCCCACCTGCCCCTCAGAGTCCTGCTTCAATGCTCATCATGGCATGGAGAGAACCCTCAGTTCTCAAAGGCCATGTCTACAAAGCATATGCCCTGCGAGGTTCTACCAGGTGGGAAAGGCTCCCAGGGGGGTCCTGGCAAAGCCTGTGTCAACGGTGTCCACGGCTGAAGGGCCAGCCAAGAGAAATTCATAAAGGCTCAGCCACAGATGGGGGCTGGCTTTTCTAATTCCCCAGGGTCGGGGAAAGGGAGCAGGGGCTGCACTAAGGCTTCCCAAAGCTGCAGGCATTCATCTTCTCATTGGGGTTCTCATGGTGTAATCTCCAGCCAGCAGCCAGTAAGTGGGCACACATGTGGCAAATGCTCTACGGAGGAGGGGGAGGGGCCACAGTCTGAATTGGCAGAAGGAGGAATGATAATCATGAGACCACAGATCCACAAGGGAATTTGGGCAAATGGGCAGATATCTGGGAAAGCCTCATCCGTCTCATCACCTCCTCCCCCATCTCAAAGAGCTTGTCGTTAATCGCAAGGCAGCGGTTTACTGCCCTGGATAGAGATGACAGTCGTTACTAATTTGGGGGCTAATCTCTGATGGGGGAAAAACTCACATTCTCGAAAACAACTTAACTTTGGCACAATCTCATCGTTGAAGCGCTTGAGCACCCAGTCCACCATCTCTCGATTTTTGCCTTGGCCCAAGGCATAAGTATATTTCTCTAGAAGAGGAACATTTCTCAGGTTCCAGATGAAGTCCCCCCGATGCAGGCTGCTTATCTTTGGATGGTGGAATTTCTAAGGAAGGATTGAACAAACAGACATGGTAAGTAATGAGAAAGCCGTGTACTGGACCGTGCAGTCTATTGGAGGGGGAGGGAGAGGAGAGACACTTGGACCCTTGTGGGTGATACAAAGTGGAATTCAATAGAGATAAAAGAGATCCAAAGTACTCAAGGAAAATTAGAGGGAGGAAGAGATAAGTCTTGGTTGAGGGGGATGCCAGGGAAGGTTTTAAAAAGGAGACATGACTTGGGATGGACTTGAAGGAAGAGGAGGATTTTAAGGAGGAGATAAGGAGAAAGTTGGGAATTGACAGGATCAGATTTAGAGCCAAAAGGGAAATGAGAGGTCATCTAACACAACCTCCTCATTGTATGGATGAAGTGAAATGATTTGTCTACAGAGTAGTACATGGTGAGAAATAAACAGGTGAAGCAGGATGTGAACCCAGGTATTCAGAGGACCAGCCATGGACAAACCGTATCCTACCGTACTGAAGACATGGGATTGCTGAGCTATGGTCGCAGACAGATGACCCATCATGGTGAGTAGGAGAAGAGTGGCAGGAAGAGAAAGGAGGGAACTAGGCAAGCTGTAGGCCAGTGAGCTTGGCTTCTGGTCCTGGCAAAATCTGAGAGTCTGTTATTGAAAGTGGGGGTCAGAGAGGCAGCATGTCAGCAGGTAGGATGATGGCCTTCTAAGTCAGATCTGGGTTCCTGTGGAACCTTGGACACAACCTACCCATGTGGTCCTAGGTAAGTCAATCTCTCAAAGCCTTGGTTTCCTCATCTGTAAAAATGGGATAATCTGTACATTTCCTTCCTCACCAGTTTGTTGTGAGTAAAGCACTATGTAAATTTAAGTTATAATTATTTAGAAAGGGAAGCCGTAATCACCAAAAGCCAGAATGGTTTCATCAGAACAAGTCACACCAGACCGACCTCATTTGACAGGGAAATTCTGGTCAATCCAGAGAATGCTACAGATACATATACTTAGATTCTAGCAAAGTGTTTGCACCAGGTCTCTCCTCGTATACTTGTGGGCAAAATGCAGAGATGTGGGCCAAGTAACGGCTCCATCAGGTCAGTTCAGAGCCTCAGAATGGCTGGACCCAAAGCGAGATCCACGGTTCAATGTCGACCTGGAAGGAGGTTTTCCTGGAGCGAGCCGGGGATTTGTCTTGGGCGTTTTTATCAATGACGTGGAAAAAGGCACCAACAGCAGCTCAATCTCTCCGGCCTCCCTGGACGCGAGTTCCCCTCAGACTCTGCAATGCAGCCAAACTGGCCTCCTCTCTGGTCCCCACACGACTCTCAAAGAGGAGCCTGGCAGCATCCGGAACATCCTCTTTCCTCACCTCTGCTCCTGCCAGATGCAGCCCAAGGACCACCTTCTACACAAAACTTTTCTACTTCCCCCCAACTCCCCTTTATTTAACTACTTTGTGTTTGTTTATATTCATTGTCTTTATGTAGAACATAAAATGTTTTGGTAGGGGCAGCTAGGTGGCACAGTGGATAGAGCACCGGCCCTGAAGTCAGGAGGACCTGAATTAAAATCCGGCCTCAGACCAAACACTTGACACTTACTAGCTGTGTGACCCTGGGCAAGTCACTTAACCCCAATTGCCTAAAAAAAAAAATTCTCATTCTTGGGGCGAGTAGGTGGGGCAATGGATAGAGCACTGGCCCTGAAAATCAGGAGGACCTGAGTTCAAATCCGGCCTCCAACCAAACACTTGACACTTACTAGCTGTGTGACCCTGGGCAAGACACTTCACCCCAATTGCCTAAAAAAAAAAAAATAAAATGTTTTGGTGACCTAAAATCTTAATCTCTAAACTCCGGACTAACAGGCAGTGCTCGGTCCATTGCACTTACACCTTCAGCATGGAGCACACAGGAGGCACTTAATGAATACGTGCTGCTTGACTGACCGCTACAAAGACAGGAGGCAGAGACAGCCCCCTGGATGATGGACAGAGCTCAGCAGGCTGGGATGCTGGGCCTAATCTAAAGGATGAAATTTAATGGGTATAAATGAAAAAGCCTTCAAATGGCCTCAAACAATTTGTGTCATTAATACATGATGGGGAAGGTTCCTGGAGATGGCAGAAATTTTTAAAAGTCACAGAATTTCAGAGTGGGGAGAACCCTCAGTAGCCACTCAGTCCCCCAGGACCTCTCAACCCAGAGGCTGAGCACTAGAACTCCATCACACTTCTGGACGGCTCTTGTTGTCACGAAGCTCCTCCTCCTCACATCCAGCCTCAGTTTACCCTTCTACAGCTTCCAGAAGCATTAACCCTCCAACTGCAGCCAGTGGAGACCCAAGGACGCCCCAGGTTTTACAGGCTCTGGGCTCAGGGTTTTGGAAGCTTCCTCTCCACTCCCTCTCAATCCTTCGAGGCCCAACCCAGATAACAGCAGCTTCTCTAGCAAGCCCGCCTAGCTGAACGGCCGGCTCCCACACAGCACTTCCTCATCCACCTTATACTTTGCATGATAAGTTTTGCTTATGCGTCTTGTCTTTCCTGCCTGACGGATGCCCTGGGAGGGGACCTGCCTCTAACAAACGGCAGGTACTCAGTGATCATCTGGTGAATGAATGAAAAGCCGTGAGGCCGAACTTAGTAGAGAACAAACGCCCACTCGGGAGCTGAAGCCCTTACCTCCAGACTTCTATCCATCTGGGCCGCTAGTTTGCCAACTTCATATAGGAGCTTCGGAGTGACGGGAACCTGGGCTATGGGTTTTCCTGGCAGGAAACTGAACAGCCTCACTAAGTAACTTCTGGTCTCAGAGCCGCTGTCTATGCACAGAGAGAGACAGATGATCAAGACTTCAGGAGGCTCACATCTCAGCCCTGACGCGTTATGGTCACCTGGGTGAGCTTGGACAAGCAAGTCACTAAATGTCTAAGATGCCGAGTTTCCTCATCCAGAAAATAGGGAGAATACACCATCCACCTCACAGACCCATTGCAAGGAGAATAACGTGCACAGCATTCTGTAACAGTTATCGACTATCATTTATTAGGGCAAAGACTGTTCTGCCTGGAAATATTCACCAAAAAAAAAAAAGATTTTTAAAATGAGTGAAAGAGGGGCAGCTAGGTGGCGCAGTGGATAGAGCTCTGGACCTTGGAGTCAGGAGGCCCTGAGTTCAAATCCAGCCTCAGACACTTGACGCTTACTAGCTGTGTGACCCTGAGCAAGTCACTTAACCCTGTAACCCTGACTGTCTCATCGAAAAGCAAAAAAACAAGAAAAAACAAACCAAAGAAAAAAAAAAGAGTGAAGAAAAAACTAGAAAACAAGGAAAGCCAAGTCCATAGAACCCAAAACCCCACAGCCCCCTGGGGGGCCCAGCAACCCGACAGTCAGAGCCTAGGACAGGCTCAGGTCCAGCTTTGTACCTTCTGCAAACAAAGGGCTGGCCAAGCCTACCAGGTGGCCATGCTGGTCCTTGTGCTACCCACCTTCACCTTCAACTACTTCTCCTAGAGCAGGCTCCTAGCCAGCCCTCCCTGCCCCTCCCCCCACCATGATCCTCTGGGGACTGGGGCAAGGCAAGGGTGCCTTACGAGTCCCCATGAGGGGGTAAGGGGGCCCCAACTCTAGACTCACCCAGTGTTTCAGGGAAAGCATGGCTGTTTTTAACAACACAAATCCTGATGGCGGGATTGAGAAAACTAGGGAGTGGTGTGGTTTTTAGTTTGATTTCATACAATAAAAGTACAATGTTAGGCAATCATTTTATAAAGCTGGCCGGAGAATTACACACAGTATGGCGTGTTACAGGGCTGAGCAGCAGGAAACTTCAGGGCCTGAGTCTCATAAGGAAGGTCAGCCTGGGGATGCGGTATCACGTATCACTTGGTTTTACAGCTAGTGCCTGTGTATGTGTGCTATTCCTCCTGCTAGACTACAAGCTCCCTGAGGACAGGAACTGTGTCTTATCTAAACTTGGCCTCTTCCTCTGCCCCAGGACAGTGCTCCATCCACAGAAGGCAGGTGAGAGGCATTTGAACAAATTTCCAGCTGCTCCCTTGGCTACCAGAAGGATACTTCTTGGTCGTCAGAATTCCCAGCTTTGACCACTTCTGAAGCAAAGGCCTCAAACTGGGGCCCCTGGGGTCACTGCTCCTTCTCTGTCCCCACACCTGCATGGGTGATTCCAGCTGGGCTACAGATGCTTCTGGAGATCTGGTCACGGCTTACCTACGGACATCAGAGAGGTCAGGCTGCCCCCTTTAGTGGGATGCACAGTGGCGGTTGGAAAGCCTTCTGCCTTCAGAAACATCACGATGTGACTCTGCACCTCAACCAGGTCAGAGTTCTTGCTGGATTCAGTGTTGTTCACTTTGAGAACATACTTGAGGGGATCACCACTTGCTTTGGAGGCCCTCGGAACTTGCACGAGGAAGTTCTGATCGACATAGCTGGGAAGAGGCTGGATCTGGGTCACCTTTAACCCAAACACCGACTCCACCAACTCGGAGGCTTGGAGCTCACTGAAGGCGGGTCTGATGAGGGCCGGGGATTGCTGGTGCTCCGGGCTCGACATGGCTTCTAGGAGGCAAACGGGAAAGAGGCTCAAAGAAGGGAATCAGGAGGCACTTGTTCTCAAAACAGACTTTGGCCCTACCCTTTTTCCCAAGCCCTCTCGGATTACCTCATTCTCCTTCACACCCAACAATATGACCCTTCGCTCATACTAAGTTATGAAAGGCTAACAGCAGATTAAAGGGTGGCCTTTCCCAGGGTGATTTCCATTGTCAGCAGTTAAAAACCTGAACCGAAACAGATGAAGGCTGGCTGATAGAATTTCAGGTCTCAGTCACAGGTGTGAGAGAGACTGTGTGGGAACATCAAGGCCTTTCTCCTGTGCCCCTGACACTGGACCAGAGGCATTGTTTAGGACTCTGAGTCCATTCAGTTTTGTTTGGTACTACTAAAAACAGTTTCCTTGTTTATTTTCTGACCAGAGTGTTTTCTTTTGTTAGAAATGAGCTAAATAATCTCCCTTGTCGATATCGTCCCAAGACAATATACAGAAGCTTGAGTCGGGGATTAAAATATTCCTTGCCATTGAATGTGCTAAGGCCTTTCAAATTCCGGCAAATAGTTAAGCCTTCTATCAAGTGATTTATTTAGCTGACCACTAGAAGTGATCTGGGCTAATTTTCAGAGAGTCATATGAATTGAAAATTTAACTTATGGATTTTTTTTCCTGGAGAGTCCTTCAGTTTTCAGAAGCTATAACTATGTCTGAATGAGATTCACAGAATCATGAGAATGTGAAGGGCACTCAGAGACTCTGGTCCACCTGATGCTTGGAGGATTCCTTCTCCAGCATCTCCAGCTAGTGGTCATCCAGCTTTTGCCCGAATGCTTCCAGTAACAGGAGCTCAACACCTCATGAAAAAGTCTGTGCCAGCGCTGAAGAGCTGAAATCTGCCTCTTGGCTTCAATGTTCCAACCATGAAACTATCCTCGGCGCCCTTCAGCGGACCTAAAAACCAAATACACCCATGGGGTGGTCATGGTGTTTATTTCAAAGTCTTGCCCACATCCTTCTCTACAAAGCAAATCTAAAACCTTCCTGGATCTTTGCTGACAGGTATTATCCTATGAAAATGAAGGATCAATGGTTTCCTTATTGTGGGACCTCCTGCTGAAAGCCCCAAGTCCTACCGACCCTTTTCCATGCTTTAGTTAAACTGAATTATTCACAACACAAGCAGCAAAACTCTGCCTCTGAGTCTTTGCTAAACTTGGTGTCTGGAACGGCCTCCTTCCTGGTTTTAGCCTGTCCTATGAGGGCCAAGTTGAATGCCTCTTGCTTGCCCCCTAAGACTTCCCTTCTACCCTTCCCACCCCCTTCACCTCCAAATTGGGTAAAGATTTCTCCTTCCTCAGACTGAAAATAATTTTTTTTTGCATCTAATAATTACAGTGCAAAATTATACCTATGTAGTATTGGGTATATGTAAAATATATATCTATTTATATATGTTATATATATATATGTATATTTAATATATATATATATATATATATATATATATATATATATATATATATATATATAAAATCCCTACCATATTTTAAGTTCCTTGAAGATAAGGTCGTGGCTAAATTGTGTCTCTTCCCGGGCCCTGAGCACAGCGCTCTGCACACAGCAGGCATTTAATAAGTGTTTCTTGAGTTCAGTGGAAGCAGGCTATCCTAGAGCCCTGGCTTTTCCAGCCTGGTAACACCCGCCGGCACTTTCACCCCCTGGCAGAGGCGTGGAGCCCGGGGGGCACTTCCTGGCCACCCCCAGCAGGGAGACTTTGGCCGGTAATTTTCAGGCCCTCCGCCTCCCCCTTATCTCTTCCCAAGACAGGAGGCGCCGAGGCCACAGAGTCCTCAAGTGTGTCTACACTTTGCACCCTGTGCTGACATCGCGTCCGGAGGAGGCTGTTTGCCGACCCCAGGAAATGAGGTTCAGCAGCCACTTTAAGAGCGGAGGGAGGGGGAGCTGGCCCCGGACCCGGACCCGGACCAGCCGGAGAGCAAGCGGAGCGTGAGAGCCCAGGGAAGGCTAACGCCGGTCCGAGGAGCGAAGGCGGCTCCGGGCTGGGCACGGAGGGCATCGTGGGGGAGGCGTCCTACGAAGGGGGTGGTCCATGCCCCCGCCGGGCACCTCTCCTACCCCTGCCCTTATTCCGGATGAACCTGGGGGCTCCCACCCGGAGGGGGGGGGTCTCCGTCTCCCGCCGGCGGCCCCCGGCCTCCAGGGGATGCTTTCTTCTCATCTGTAAAATGGGCGGATGCGGGGGTGGGGAGAGGGGCGGGCCCGGGGGTCTCGGATGGGTCCTTCCACTCTGAGGCTCCCCTCCCTTTCCTGACCAGCCGAGACGCGGTCAGGGCGGCCGGACCGGGGTCCTACGGCCGGATCCCAGAGGGGTCACTGCCTGACAAGGTCCGGGGGCTTGACCTTGGGCCGGTCAACGAACCTCGCCAGCCCCAGTTTCTTCATCTGGAAAAGGACCCGGCCGGCCTCTGAGCTCCCTTCCAGCCCTAGGCGGCGAGGTGGCTGGGGAGCCTGACCTGAGTTCAAATCCTCCCCCAACTACTAAACTAGCCGTACGACCCCGGAGGGCACGTCCCCTCCTGCCTCAGCTTCCCCGTGAGCAAAATGGGGACGATCAGAGCACCTACCTCCCGGGGCGGTTGTGAAGAGCCTGGGGGACCGTCAGAGGGAGCCACGTAAGCACCAGCCCGCCCGCAAGCCTCCACCGTGGGCCCAGCTCCGAGCTGAGCCCCGCCAGGCTCACGGGAGACCTGGGGCGGGCCGCCAGCCTGGGGGGCGGAGCCCTTCCTTATTCCGCTTCCGGATTGGTCCGCGCAAGCCCCTGGGCGGGGCGGAGGAGGCAGGGACGCGCCCCCGCGTCAGGCCCAACTCCTGATTGGCCACTTCCTCTCTTCTCGTCTTTTGGCAGCTGATTTTGCAAAAGAACCAGATTCTGATGGGTCAAGAGTCCTCTCAATCGGTCACCGTGGTTAGAAGAAGAAACCACGTTTCTCATTGGCTCTCCTGACTTTTCCGCCCCAATCTTGCTCTAGGAGGCCCCGCCCCCAAACTGCAAACCGACCACCTGATTGGCTAACGTCCTGAGGCGTGTTACTGCCCCCTCCAATCACGGATAGCAGCAGAGACTCCGCGGGCTTTGAGTCACTTTCAGCCTTGGAAATGTTCCGATGCTCCCTAGCCTCACATTTGGCTATTAAAGCCTTTCACAACGTGGCTGCAGCCCACCTTCCCAAGGTTATGCATTACTCACCTTCACTCACTCGCCAGACTGGCCTTGCTGTTCCTCTACAGGCAATCCATTCTGGATTCCCCAGAGCAGCTAATGCTTTCCCCCATCCTGACCATGAATGCATACATCTAAGTGCACAGACTGTCTCTTCTGAAAGAACTGCAAGCCACTTGAGGGCAGGATTTGTTTAATCAGGTTTTGCAACCTCAGTACAGCGGGCACTGTGATACCTGATTATTTTAAGGTTATTCTCCGAGTTTGGCATTACTGCAAGGGGTCTCAGTTAGGTATTGCTATCTTGAAGGTCTTTGGGAAATTGTTTCTCCCAGGAGAAACTTGACGGTCTGTGGGCAGAACACTAAAAAGCGTCTGCTCGACCTGTTGTAATCAATTATTTGTTAGTCTGTAAGCTTCTTCTCAGAGTATCCCTCTTTCCCCCCGCAACCCCAACCTGGCCATTGGGCTTCAATGACTTGACTTTGCTTATCTTCGCTAGAGATTAATCATACCTCCATTTGCCTCCTAACCTTGTACCACCCTCCACCGAGTTGTCTTCTCAGAAGTTTGTAACTTCAGGCTTGTTCTCACTTGGGGAAGGAGATTCTAGATGGCACTAAAACCCTATGCCGAGTCTGTTTGGATGACCCTTCCCTTGCAGGTATATGAAATAAAGAAATGCCTTGCTCAAAGAAAGAACTCTAGAGCCATGTTTGTTAATCAATTGGATCATCCGGTGGGGGCGGTTAAGTCAGACTCTTGAGTGGTTCTGCAACATTCCTGGGCTTGCTAACTCAAGTTCTAGGGCATCAGCCGTCTAAAAGGGAATCCCTCTTTGATTTGTGCTCTACTGGACCTTCTCCATGACATCGGCTAACACTCTGAGAGCTCTTTATCTGCCTATTTTACGCATCATCTGGTGATTAGAGGGCCACCTAGCTAACGAAGGCCAGAGAGGGAAGAATCAGGACCTATGGGTCGAAAGTTGCAAAGCAGCACATTTTGGCTTGAGGTAAGGGAAAACGTCCGTCCTAACAATTACGGTTTTCCAAAAGTAAAATGAATTGCCTCAGGCTTGGGTTCTTGGTAATAAAGTAAAGGCCGAATGATCACTTACCAAGTAAGGGGTAGAGATTTTTATACAGATACTTAGTAAAACGATTCAGGAGCTGGCTTCCAGGCCCCTTATATAGTCTAGTCTGTAATTTCACTAATGCTAAGGAATTTGGTTCCCTGGCGAAGAGGCTGGCCAGATTCTGTGAAGGCTCTAAACCCTAATACCTGGAATGGAGATTCTGGCTCTGGATCAACCAAAAGTATTTGTTTAAAGTGACATTAATGTAGTGAATATTATGGTGACATAAAATATGATAAATGTGAAACAAAAAATGAGGGGCAGTGACATTGGCAGAAATAGTATATATGTTTTTTTATACACACATATATAAAAGCACACATATATACATATATAAATGCTATTTTTTTTTTAAATAAAGAAAAATAAGGAACACAGGGTTTAAGTTATCAATACAGGGCATCAGGTTGTACACCACCCACAACACTCCTGGGGCCCACCAGATAAAAATGTAATTGGGAAATCTTTAACAAAATAAATATACAGTGACATATAGATGAATGTTAACATGAGGCTTCCTAAGTCCATACATACCAGCAGGGATCCTCATGGCCTTGAGTGGCCCATTTTTATTTGAGTTGGACACCACCAGGGTGACATGTCCAATTTTCAGACAGGCCTTAAAAAAGAGACAAAGAACAAACGCATCTTGACGATGGTTTGTTTGGAATTTACTTTGGTTTTGCCCTGTTAAAATTTTTTTCTCCTAGTTTTGTTGTGTCTAAATGCTTTTGTTAATGCTTATTTTTAAAAATACATTTTACTTTTGGTTCTTCGATCATTTTACAATGCCCCCTCCAGGACGAACCCTATGGCCCTCGTGACAAAACAAACACAATTAAGCAAAAAACATCTCATACAGTGACATCTGAAAACATATATATATATATATATATATACACATACACACATACATATATAATATATATATATATATATACACGTGTGTATGAACGCCTGTATATAAAATCATCCTCTCCTAGCTCTCTGCTGTTTTGCATTACCTAGTCTCTAGGACATATACAGCATATGCTCTTTATCTGCACCCCAGCACAGCCCCTGGCACACAGTAGGTGCTGGTGCTGCTAAATCAATGTATATTGACTGACTCCATTGGTTTTTCATCTTGCCATGTTTGATTCTTAGTGATTACTTCATCTACATCACTAGTCATCGTGCACTTTGTCCTACATCAATGCATACACACATTCCCTCATTTCTGCTTCACAGCTGTCATTTTTTACCATCCTGTAACATTCCATTCCACTATATACCATTGTTTTCTCAGTGATTTCCTTGACGATGATTATTTAAAGAGGAAGTATGGCACAGCAAATCATTTAGGACCTGGACTGATTGAATCCTGGCTCTGAATCCCACCCTTGATATTTCATGGAATGGGCAAATCACACAACCTCTTGGTTTCTTTCTTAATGAGTGTTGAGACCTGTAGTATGGACCTCACAGAGTTTATATTATCCTACTGGAGCCCTGCACTTAAAAGTGCTTTGCTGACTTTAAATGTTAAAAGTTACTATTAGATTTACAATAAAAAAAATAATTTAACAACAGTTCCTGCCCTTGGAGAACTACACACCTTTTCAGGTCCCACTTGGTCAAATAAATGAGAGTAATGAATAATTATGAGTCTCTGTGGTATAGCAGGAAGAATGCCAGAATCATAGGATTTAGAATTTTGAGGGCCAATCTCCCTGTTGGAAGAAGTGAGGCCAAGATGGGAAGGTCATTTGCCTAAAACCTTAGTCTGATGACTCCAAAGCCATTTTTTTTGTAGTGATGGTCACCCACTGCTCCTCAAACCCAAGCCCTGCTACTTCTTTCCAAGTCACTTCTCTGGACCTCAACACCTCATCTAAAAACAAGTGGTTTAAGACTAAGTGATCCCTCCATATGGAAGCCATTAGAATCCAATGATCCTTTTTCTTTGCAAGGCAATCAGGGTTAAGTGACTTGCCTAGGGTCACACTGATAGTAAGTATCTGAGGCCAAATTTGAACTCGGGTCCTCCTGACTCCAGGGCCTGTGCTCTATCCACTGCGCCATCCAGCTGCCCCTGAATCCGATGATCCTTATGAACAAGTGAATGGTAAAACTATGAAGAAAGTTGTGTAAACTGAAGGGACACCTCTAATCTTTAGGCTCATTTTAGTCTGATTTTATCAATGCTGGATTTCTATTCTCCTTACTAGTATTTTTAAATAGAAAAAACAAAATCAGTGATAATACAATTTTCTTTATTAAAAATAATTTACAACATTGGTAACATTATATGCACAATTGTCATCAATTGAACTTTGCCTCCAGATATATTTCTATACAATACTTAACATTGTTGAACTTAAAACTGTTATACTGTTTTGTTGGCTTTAAACAGTAGACATCGATTTGCAATTACTCAAATGTGATTACTATACATATGGTTCTATAGCCATATACTAGATGTCAAATGGATAGAAACAGCAACACTATCACAACTTTGGGAATAAACATTTCAAAAGCCCAAATAATATTTTTTGGTTTGTTCTCCCAAATCAAACAAACCAAGGAAGGCTTAGGGTGTCCATTTTGTTCCCTCTGCCACCCTCAAAGATAAATTAAATGCCAAAAGAAAAAAGTTGCCTTTTAATTGGGGCCACGCCCACACAGTGGCCAAATAACTTCTTTCCACCCTACTATAGGCAGGTGCAACACTTGTCCTAACAAGATGGGAAATCTTCCAGGCCACGTAGGCAGCAGCTGGGCTGTCTGGGCTTCATTTCCATAGGAATGTACTCCCTCCCCCCACGTGCACAACAAAGCAAGGCTGTGGGGACCTCACTCCTGCCCTCTGAAGCACAGGCATGCAGCCCCTTCCCTTCAGAAGTCGGTCAGAGTCACTGAACAGACAACTACAACTATCGGGGTCGGTGTGGTTACTCATGGCTGAACAAGAGAGCTTTTTCACTGATTTCATATCAAAGAGCAGCAGACCTATAAGTCATGAAATTGGGCATTCCACTTAGCATAATTTACTGTTAAAGTAAAAAAAAAACAACACACCATTTCAGGTGATGATGGGCTTTTACAAGTGTACTTGAGATCACAAACCCTGAGGTGCTTCTGTGACATGTCCACAGGTCTTCCTTTCCTTAAACATTACTTTATTTCTTCTAGTTTCAGTGTGCAAGAGGCGACTTCTATGCAAGAAACATCGATAACTAAAGGGACACACACACAAACAGCACTGAATGCCAGGATTTCCTCATGGAACAAAGAGCTGGCCAACAGCAGTTCTTCCTGAGAAGGAAGATCTAGCCACCTTCCAGGAAAGGAAATTCTACTTGCAATATACAAATATCAGATCAAGAGAAGTGGGATTAGACAGCAAATTAAGGCTCGCTGACCACAACAACGGCCACAGGGACTAGACGTCGAGCTGTAAATGCTTTATTCCTAGTGGAGAATTCAAAATGGCCTCGGCCGGGTGGACAGTTGACTCGTGCGTGTTCGTAGCTCTCCTCAGAGGCTGCAGGATGGTCTCAAGTTTATAAAGACTTGTCTCCAAATGATCTGCAACTGCGGAAGTCAAGTACTTCCTTCTGAAAATCGCCAAGGCTATTTTAACATTTAGAATGTAACAATTCCAACTACAACATGTTTCCACGTAAATGAAAAAACACACTGACAAGGATATACAGGAGAATGATAAAGTATAGAAAAAACAATATGGTTTAAAGGTGACAGGAAACGAGTATTATCAGATGAGAATTTGTTTTTAGTGCATGTGAGTGGTGGGAAGGGAAAGGCGAGGGATGGGAGAAGAAAAATCACTTAGCTTCAACCTAGCACATTTGATCAGCCAAATATATATTTATGACTTATCTGTAAACTCTCACACTGGTAATTCTGTGCAATAGTTACTCAGTGGTCCCTGTCCACTGGTTTAAATAGTCAGAAGGGTTTTATCATTCCTTATATATGCAATGTTAATTGATTTAAAATTGCAATAACAATATTTCAAAGTGAATACTACATTACTTTTCCTTTCACTCAGTTTTACTTCTTAAAATGAAATTCCTTAAATTTAAAATAACTTATAAAAGCTTCAGAAATAATCATCTAACCCCTTGGGTAATAGAAAAGTGGTCCAGCTTCTTTGGGTTATATCAAGGAATTCATTCTGGTAAGCAAGAATATATGCTTGAAAGACAAGAGTGTTCAGAATAGGTTAAACACTGCTGCCCTCAAAGAGGGTGATAACACAATTAGTACGAATGCCGACCCAAAGAAATAAAAGGATGCCTCAAAGCAACAGAAAATGTTTTTAAAAAATTCAAAAGATGACCCAAATGTTAAAATAAAAACTGCTACAATTGCTCAGCCACTTCCCACCTTAGACTGAACATCGGCTAGGATTTTAGGCCATCTCTGAAAGCCTGGAGATCATTTTTAGAGTTGTCTGGTCAAATAAATAGTTCCTTTCTCAGATCCTGAACAACAGTAAAAAGGTAAGTTTTTGGTAAATGATGTGTATCTGGAAGTAAAAGTCTCCCATGAAGGTGGATAACTTCTGTTTCATCTGTGATTCTATGATCCTGCCTTGCAGTTTAACCAACAAATTACAAAACATCTGGAGGTAACATGTTGGACTACTGTGGAATAGGCTAGTGTCACCTTCCTCCTGGATCCTCATAGCTAAAAGCAATCTGGAAAGGCCCATCCTCCCCTACACAAAACCCTGTTTCTTAAGAGCATGTCCCTTGGACGACGGCTGAAGCTAGCTCTGGCCTCTATTTCCAAACTAGAGCAGACACCTACCTAAGTACACCAGCTTTGCTTACCTCAATTCTAAGGCTACAGAATCAAAGTTCAAAGTCCATTTAGATCCCAGCTTCTCAGCTTTCAGAATTCATTAATCTGATTTGGCTTCTCATTCGTAAATCTGTTACTCTTAAACCAACAAACAGTAGTACCCAGTTTTAAAGGTGCAAAACTAAAGGAAAACAACTGCAGGAAGGCTGCTCTTACATAATAGTCTTCACCACAATTCAAGTTCAAACTCCACCTTGTTTATTTACAAAATGGTTTGATAAAATATCCCCCCCACCCCATCCCCCCATACTTACAGCTCTCTTCCACAACACACTTAGGCTGATTTTAGCAATGTTAATAGCACCATTCGTATAGTATTTAAAATCAAGAAAGATCTCATTGTGGTCACTACGATGATTCACAATCATTTACACCCATGGATGAGATAACTGAGCATACAGCAACTGTTTGTAGCTCCATGGTATGGATTCCTAGGTCCATCACACAAGGCATTTGCAGTTACCAATTATGGAAGGGGATCCATGTTCAGTAGATACTAGGAGAATTTTCGAGCCACATAGTTTAATAATCCACCATGTTTGTATAATGTTATTTCCACATCATTTTCAAATGAAGCAATCACGCTGAATACTTTTCCAGTGCTTGTCTTTAAAAGTAAAAACAAAACAAAACAAAAAACCAGAACCTATTAAGATCAACTTGTCATTCCTCCTAAACAAAGCACTCTCTGAACCTTTTCCACCCGGCCTCCCAGTCTACTTCATTATTAGTCCTCCATTCCCTGGCCAGAATAAACTCCATGAGGGCTACACGAGGTAGCTCCTTCTAGACTCAGCATGGTACTCTGTAAAGAGTGGGTGTTCTAATAAAGGTCTGAATGAGTCACTGGTAAATTCTCAAAATTGCAGGACAGTGTTTCTTACTGCCTAAAGCCTTCTCTGCCAAAAAACACTTTTCTTGATATCAAATGTCTCTCATAAATCCTTTTTTTAACAAGTGGAAGTCAGGATCTTTTTCTATTCTAGAAGAGAACATATTAAACCCAAAGAGAGATGCTTAGTCCTAGGGGGCAGCTAGGTGGCACAGTGGATAGAGCACCGGCCCCGGATTTAGGAGGACCTGAATTCAAATTCGGCCTCAGACACATAACAACACTTATTAGCTGTGTGACCCTGGGCCTGGGCAAGTCACTTAACTCCACTGCTTAGACTAAAAAAAAAAAAAAAAAAAAAAAAAAAAAAAAAAAAAAGAGATGCTTAGTCTTGCTCCTCCTAACTCTGAAGGCAGCATGGAAGTGATCCTGGGCTCCCCAGGAGGCTATGCCAATGCCAAAGGGCATCATGTTTGGCAGGTCTAACCAAGCTAACAAAGCTTTGTGCATACAGACATGGCAACAAGTGGTGCATGTGCTGTAAATGTGGGAAGGCTCCATCACAAGGTGGGCACCAGGTGAGATCTTGTTTTGGCCACGTGTGGCACACAATCTATGGAATGAAGAAGTCTGTGACCCTGCCTGGTGGGCCCTGCCCAGCTCCCTGCCACAAGCCCCATTTAAGCCGTGGGACTATAGGACTAAGGGAGTTTCTTCCTTGGAATAACAAGGATAAAACCCAGGGCAAGTTCCTCACGTTGCTCCAAGACTCAAATGACGTAATACACGAAAAGGTTTTTGCAAACTTCCAAGAGCCTTGCAAAGTCAGTTATTGTTATAATCATCTAGAACTTATCATTTACAGCAAATATGCTGGTTAACTTAAATTTTTAGGGAGGAGCTGAAATTAGACTTTCTTCTCCTAGCTCCTGCCTCAGGACTAGTGCAGGGATGCCTCCACTCTGCAATGAGATGCTTACTCAGTGGTGAATCTAGGAATAAAGATCTCAAACAGGACTTGGAAGCCAAGAAACAAGCAGAGTTTGAAAATGGATTAGAACAGGGGATGAAAGCCAGGATGCTTGGGTGTCCGTCCACAGACTGCTTATGCCTCCAGGTTAGGGCAAGTTCTGTAGACAGACCTTTCTCCTCGGGAAAAGGAAGGCATTGGACTAGACTGGTTTGTTTGTAACAGACCCCTTTAGCAGTGTGGTGAAATCTAGGGATACCTAAGGATCTTCTCCCCCCTATAATAAAAGGAAATGCTAAAATTCAGCTAGAGATGAGTGAAAATAAAGATGTAACTTTTTTTCTACACAAGTTGAAGGACCTGCTATTATCCCTCTACAGGTCTGTGGTACTTTTACTGCTGGAAAGTCCAACATACAGAACCCACATTAGGAGGGGGATCTGGGAAATTCTATTCAACTTATAAATGCTGCAAGGAGCCCTGTGAATTTACTCAACAAACCCAATGTGATTCAATGCCTAAGGGTGCTAAGGTAATTAATGACAGTAATATGGCTACATAAATAACTTTGTTATTTATTAGGACCCAAGTCATGTGGTTTTAAGTTTCATTTAGTCTCAGCACGGTGACATGCTAGAAAAGTTGAATAAAACCAAATGGCTAAGAAGCAAATGTACATACCATCAATCCAATCAAGTATCACCCCTCTACCAAAGCTCTAACTGGGGGCATTAGAACATATACCTCCAAAAATGTCAACACAAGCCCAAAGTAGAGTGAAGGTTTGACTGTACAGAACTACTGGGAAATATGTTTTTCAAGATCACCATTTTCCAGTCAAAGATTTACCTGTACAAGCACCAAAGTTTTTTATATTTTAGATGGAATTCTCCCTTGAGTGGATCCCACTTCTCTGCATATTCTTAAACAGAATATATCAAAGCCTAATTTAACATTACGGGCTGGCCACCAGACATGGTCCCTGCAGTGACATTCCAGGGGATGGAATAGCCCTACCCTGCTATGCCTTTGAGGTGTATGTACAGCAAAGCTTTCCCCTTCTCCTATCCATGCTAATCAGCTTGAGGCAGGATATCTGAGCTCACCAGAAATGAAAATGAATGATACTGGGTTCTAGGACAGCCAGGCTGGCTTTCAGAAGAGGAAAACCTATAGGCTCTCTGGCATAATTTTTGGCTTGCTTTTCCCCCTCACTGGTCACGCTTTCTGTAGGTGAGGCTCTCAGAATGCAGAGGTGTTACAAGCATTAAGAAAGGAACCCAGGACTCCACCGACACCCACTTAGGGTAAGGTAAGCATGGCTATCTATAGGCAGGACCCCGCTCTCCCAGCTTCCCTTTGGAAAGTGCACAGCCCCAGACTTGAAAACCTTGCAGATACCTTTACGTTTAAGGTGACTCCCGGCGACAGATCTTCAGGGAATGAAAAAGAAAACTGCTCTCTGCCAGAGAGGCCCAAGGAACTGGCATTTTCTCCTGGAAGAAACTGCAGTGGAGCGATGCCGATTCCAATCAAATGGTCTTTGTGAATCTTTTCATAACTCTCAGCTACCACAGCTTTCACACCCTATAATAAACAACTGTTATTTCTTTCAAATTCTAAGAAAAGAGAAATGGCATATGGCATGCACTCCAAGAAGATTCTCCAGCCTGTAGAGCCGAAGCAGCACCTTCTCTAAGCTCAGTAGAAGAGGCTTCTATGTTCTGACCTGGAGTGGGACAACCTGTCACCTCCTGGATAGACCCTAAACCAGGCTCCCAAGATGTACAAATATTCTTCTTAGTACTACTGAGATGAACTGCAGGAGAGATTGGCAAGCTATGGCCCTGGCATGAAACATGGCATTTTTTCCAGGGCTGGCACTAGATGAAACTGTGCTGGTTGGTGAAGTCTTTCTGATTCCCTCTTATTACTGACTGGGATAGTTTGCATTTGAAAAGTGGATTTAACACTGAAAACCCACCAAGGACCAAAGGAATGACAAAGAACAAAATAATAATGGCCAAATGACAGGTGCTAAGATCAATCTATTTGAAAAGTTGGGCATGGTAGCCAAAATTTTTTAAGAGATTTTGGAGAATGTTCTCTCAAGATGTCCTCAATTAATGGACATTGATGTTCTACTGATGGGTGATCGTGAGCTCACCTTTCTCCAGTCACAAAGTGAATACAGAATTGACAATCCTTCTGAGTGTGATGGATCCCCACTGTGGAAGAGGGAGCTAGAGGGGAGGGCACAATGACTGACATGTCCATCCATTCAACCATCCACCCATCTTTAAATAATTACTAAAAATAACAACAAAATCCCTGGCCCCAACTTTTTCTATGCATAAAGAAAAAAAACGCTTATCTAGTCCTAGTCAACATCTGTGAAAGAACATTAAAATTTAACTACAATCTTCTAAAAAAAAAAAAGGTCAAAATGAACAATTAACCACAGGCAAACAACATGCAAATGTCTAGACAGCATTTTAAATTTAAGAAGCTGCAGATGGATTTAAGGGAATTTACACTCCCATCTCTCCATTCCTTAAGAAAAGTTGTACAAAAGTATAAAATACCATCAAATATGGTCCTTTGGCAGCCCAGTCTCTTGAATTTCCAGAGCCATATTTCTTCCCTGCTAAAATAATTAAGGGAATGCCTTCTCTCTGGTACAATTCTGCAGCTTCAAACACATCCAGCTAGAGATGAAAAACAAACAAAAATTCCCCATTAAGTCAGCAGGCAGAACTCGAGTAAACAGTAACTGGAACAATCTGAGTCTCTCCTCACCGTCTGTCCTGATGGAAAGTGGACCGTTTTGGGAGCTGGTTTTCCAATGAACTTATTGAGGAGCTTGATATTTGCAAAGGTTCCTCTCGTCATCACAGCATCATTACCCCTCCGGGCTCCGTAGGAATTGAATTCACGAGGTGTAAGGCTAGAAAACAAGATACCAATTGATTGCTGGGATACGTACAGTCAACATTTAAGTTAACTTTGCTTTCTGTTTTCTCAGCAAGAAAATCACTTGTTTTCCTTGGGTCTCAGTTTCTTCATCAATAAAATGAGGTTGAATTATGACTTCTAAGGTTCCTTGTAGTGGAGACTGTGAAATCTTACGGTTAAATTTGTCCATTAGACAGTAAAAGGGTTAGACGCAAGTAAAAAATTAACAAAATTATTGATTTTACTCCTACAGTTTAGAGCTGAGAGAAAATGGGACGAAGACTTTCCTTTCCTCAAAATACTTCCAAACTTATGAGCTAAGGGAGGTCCTAAGCATACACAAAATGAGGGTAAAGTGACATTATTCTAGTTCTCATTGTTATAGTATTAGAAATCTCCACAAAATCCTAAAGTCTCTTCACGGGAAGGATCCTAGATCTAACACTGTCTAGTCTACAAATATCTATTTATAGTTTTCTTTAAAAAATTGTTTTTATAGACCTAATATCAGAAGTTTAAGAAACAAATCTTTTTCTGTGGAAAGTGACAATAAACTGGTCTTTCTACAGAATAGCTATTTACTTTTCACAAGGCATTTTCAATAAATTCTTTCAATGAATGGTTTAATATACTAAATAAGTAAATCCTTTCTAAGCTAACCAGAATATAGCTCTGCAAAGAGAGTTCTGTGCATAACTTTCACCCTGGTGCCAAGGCACCTATTAGGTAACAAGACAATGTCTGCATTATTAATCATTTAAAAGTGAAATAAGATCTATCTACCCCCAGATTATGATCTCATGAATGGACAATTACTTTCACTGTAAATTCCCAAGCATTTATCAGGATGCAGAAGGCCATCACCCTTGATGCCATCTACCCCACAATGCTCGTAACCAACTTACCCCAAGTTTGTATGTCACTATCCAAGTAAACATAGTACACGATTCCATGCATTTCTCATAACGGGCATGTAACAGGATTCAAATGATCAGTCTTTATTCTGGCAGGGCACATTAAACTAGTCTCTTAAATCAACAAGATTTAGGGAGAAAAAAGGAGGAAACTGCTATTTTTTTTCTTTTTGAGAAGCTGTCTATTTAGACAAAGGCTCAATTTAAGTGAGCTCCATAGTCAAAAGAGTAAACAAGCAAGGATCTGACTAGAGGTCTACCTCTCCTTTGAACCAAGCACACCCACACTCAAACACGTATGGCTTCCCCTGGGAACCAGTCCAAATGGGGATGATCTTGGTAGGAAGCAGCCTCACTGCTGGCAAGAAAAGAGCCCTTGTGGATACATACCCTCTGTTTGTGAGATACTTAGCAGCAGCGCTACTCCTGGCAATGCTTCCAGCAGGCGATATATGATCAGTTGTGACAGAGTCTCCCAAATAGAGCAAGACATGGGCGTTTTCAATAGGCTGCAGTGAAACTGGCTCTTTGGCCTATAAGACAAGCAATAAAAATGTGTAAAGATCACAAATAGCACAACCCCCCACTACAGAAACAGTATCATGTTTTAAAGTTTGTAACTGAATACTTACAAGTTTATCAAAAAAGGATGGACATCTGATATAAGTAGATTTTGAATCCCACGGGAATAAAACAGAATCTGGTGCATCTAAGGAATTCCATCGCTTATTTCCCTTCTGTGAAGAAAAAACACATTAATAAACAGGCAAGCTTATGGAAGTCTTTTCCGTGTGCAACCCCGAGGACGGTGCACAAGAAATCTGGAATGCCATGGGGAGATCAGACTGTCATGGCACAAGCCAGATGACACGGAGCTGGGAAAGGGTACTGAGAAGTGATTCTACTTTCCAGAATGTTCACCCACAAGACTAGACAAAAGATGAGGCAGATCTCCATTGGCTATGGAGCTTGAAAGAGGATATACATGACATCTACAAACCTTCAAGCGGAGGCACAGGCTAAATAATTAGATCCTTATCAGATCCTGGGATATAAGAATAAATGGCCACCTCCAAAGATTGAAGGTGAGTTTCATGACCAAACAAACAAAAACTTGTATATACAGTATGGAGTCAACATTAAAAAAAAAATAGAACAAAAAAAACCAACACCCTAACCTTCCTCGCTCCAAAAGGATAAAAATATAAAACAAGTTAAAGAAATATAAGCAAGTTTTGAAAGAAAAAATCATGGCTGACAGATTCACAACAAATAATATTAAAAGAGAATTAGCCATGACTGGAGTTATATTACAAAGCATGTCAGCACAGAAAGATATCACCATATCCTTCATTAAATAACTCCAAGGTAGACAGAAAATACATTCTATAGTAAAACTGGAATTTCACTAGGCACAGATCAAAATCTCACACCATATACCAAAATAAAGTCAAAATGAGTTCATGATTTAGATATAAACACTGATACTGTAAGCAAACTGGGAGAGCAAGGAATAGTTTACCTATCGATTTATGGAGAACAGAAGAATTTATGACCAAACAGGAGAAAGAGAACATTATGAAAAGCAAAATGGATAACTTTGATTACATTAAATTGAAAAGATTTTGCACAAACAAAGCCAACGCAACCAAGATTAGAAGGAAAGTAGAAAATTGGGAAAGAATTTTTACAACCAGTGTCTCTGATAAGGGCCTCATTTCTAAAATATATAGAGAATTAAGTCAAATTTATAAGAATACAAGTCATTCCCCAATTGATAAATGGTCAAAGGATATGAACAGGCAGTTTCTCAGGTGAAGAAAGTAAAGCCATCTATAGTCATATGAAAAAATGCTCTAAATCACTACTGATTAGAAAAATGCAAATCAAAACAACTCAGAGATACCACATCACACCTATCAGATTGGCCAACATGACAAAACAGGAAAATGATAACTGTTGGAGAAGATGTGGGAAAATTGGAACACTAATGCATTGTTGGTGGAGTTGTGAAATGATCCAACCGTTCTGGAGAGCAATTTGGAACTATGCCCAAAGGGCTAAAAAAATGTGCATACCCTTTGACCCAGCACAAGCACTTCTAGGGCTATATCCCAAAGAGATCAGACAAATGGGAAAAGGACCCACATGTACAAAAATATTCACAGCAGCTCTTTTTGTGGTGGCAAAAAACTGGAAAATGAGGGGATGCCCATCAGTTGAGGAATGGCTGAACAGTTGTGATATATGAATGTAATGTAATACTATTGTGCCATAAGAAATGATTAACAGGCTGACTTCAGAAAAACCTGGAAAGACTTGTATGGTCTGATATTGAGTGAAGTGAGCAGAACCAAGAGAACAATGTACACAATTACAGCCAAGTTGTGTGATGACTAATACTGATAAACTTAACTCTTCTCAGCAATACAAGGATCTAAGACATCTCCAAACGCCTCGTGATGGAAAATGCTATCCACATCCAAAGAAAGAACTATGGAGCTTGAATGCAGACTGAAGCATACTATTTGCTATTTTTTTTCCTTCTGTTGTGTTTTGTTTCCTCTTTCTAGTGGTTCCTCCTATTGGTTCTAATTCTTACTTACAACATGACTAATGTGAAAATATGTTTAACAGGAATGTATACGTAGAGCCTATATCAGATTACACGCCACCTTGGGGAGGGAGGTGGGGAGGGAAGGGGAGAAAAATTTAAAACTCAAAAGCTTATGGAAGTGATTGTTGATAATTCAAAATAAATTAATTTAAAAAAACAAACTGGAATTTAAAAACCCTTCCATATTAACAGATAGTTCTAATTTTAACTCACTGATGCTTTGCAGTATTTTTGAATGTTCAGTTCTTTGATTTTTATTTGGAAATAAATTCATGTCTACAAACTCCTCCTAACGCTGGCCACTATTACCTTGCTTCACAGCGCAGTCCCGCTGAAGTTACTCCAATACAAGCAGGGGGCTTCTTGCCCCTCTGCTGCTTGCTCCATGTCATTCTATACGGCCCCTGAGCACCGTTCTCCTTCTTTGGATCCAGCACTGGGATGCCTTCTGCCCCTCGAGCCCAGCTTCCTGGCTCTCAAATCCCTGTCCCCATGTCAACGGAGCCTATCTGTACCAGTCTTCTTCACACATCAAAATAACGGCGATTCTTTTCATTAACTAAAGGCGATCAGATCCTGAGAGTCTTGAATCATTTTAAAAGGAGTCATGTCAGATCTGACACTGAAAACATTCCATTCCAAAGGCTCATTTTGTAAATAAAATGTCTCGTGACACAATTCAGAAATCCAGGTATGTGACAGAAGAACAGTGCACTTATGTTGCACTATTTAAGAGAGCATCCTTACCTCCATTTTTTCTTTTAATTCTTTAAACATAGAGAATATCACATGTTCTTCCTCTACTTTATGAAGCTCTTCTCGATTAGGCCAAATGTCATGTAGGTAGATGTTTCTGCCTTGAGGATCAGTACCTATTTTAAAAGATTTTTTAAAAATGTTCAATGTAAGCAAAGAATGATAAAATACTTATTGCTTTTCAAAGATAATACATCATTAGCCAAGTAAATAACTGACCTACAGATTGCTTCAAGTTAAGTAACAGAATTTATGTACTAGAGTATCCATATTAGCTGACATATAAGAATAGAAAGAAAGTAAGTGTACTAGCCAATTTTTACTCTAATAAAAATGATTCCATTTCAGAGAATAAACACCTCTTTCAGAAAGAAATCAAGTTACCTAAAGGCTCTGTCTGGAAATCTATATTCACTGTTCCTGCAATGGCATAAGCTACTACCAGAGGTGGCGAGGCAAGGTAGTTGGCACGGACACAGTCACAAAGACGACCTTCAAAATTCTTGTTGCCAGATAACACCCCACAGGCAACTAAGTCACCCTAAAAAAAAAGGGGAAAAAACATTTCACGTCAAGAGAAGAAACAACTCAGATATAAACAAAAACAAGGACTAACGAGATAACCCAAACAGGTTCTATTACCAAACAGCAAAAAATGATTGCACAGAAAGGAACCTCAGAACGACCAGAGACACCCCAGAATTTCAGAATTCAGAACCTAAGTGATCACTTAATGCATCCTTTCCTTTGACAGCTGAAGGAACTGAGGAGGACAGAAGCAGACCTAGATCTCTCGACTCCCAGCCCCAAGTTCTCCCAAACCCTGCCAAAGCAGAAGAAGAGAATTATAGACACTGAAAGTGAACACCCATGTCATGGACCCAATGCTTGTTCTCTGGAACAAGAAGCAGTTACAAGGATGTTGAGAGGGATGGAGGCCACGATATACGCAAACTGGTTAAAGGGTCTGGGAATAGTGAACTAGAAGAAAACAAGACCTGGGAGCATGGATGATATGATCTCCTCACTGTTTTCAAATTATGTGAAGGGCTATTACGCAAAAAGAGGAATTAAAATAATTTTGCTTGTCCCCAGAGGGCAGGAATAGGAATAACAAGGAGAGTCATAGAGTAGGTTGAGGCTTGACATAAGCAAAAAAATTTCTAAGAAGAAGAAGGGCTACCCCAGAGTGGAAAAGGCCGTGCCAGGACACGGCCCAGTCAGCTCTCTTCTCGATTAGAGATCTTCAAGCCAAAGCCGGCTGACCATTCACCGATATTGTGGAGGGACTCCTTTCAGGCACAGTTTGAGCTAGACAAACTTCAAGCCACTTTGCAATTCCCTGGTTCTGCAATAATGATTCCAATGGGCTAACTCAGAAGGGAGGCCCCATTATGGAGAGCGATCTCCAAGTACAGATGGGATAATCACTTGTGAGGGAATTTCTGTCCAGCCATAGATTAGACCAAAGCACCTTCTAGGACCCTTCTAACTTAGAAACTTGACTTCCCTTCCAGCTATCATCATTTCACTGCCAGCAAAAGCTGCCTACCCTCACTACCTCCACTTCATCTCTTGTTTCTATGAGAATAGTACAGTGACTCTAAAGTATGTTGCAAAATTCTTTCAAGATTATGAAGCTAATTACTAGTTTAATAACTAGAAAGTGGTTAAGAAAATTCTGGGAGCAACTCTGAAACCTGTCTTTGCTAATCTATAAATGTTACCTCTTTTATTGCATTCAGAACAGTTTCTGGCAAGGGAGCTGTATTTCCAACGCAGGTTGAACATCCATAACCAACTACTTCAAACCTACATTTAAAAAAAAAAGGAAAGGAGAAGTTATTATATTACACATTATACTGGGAAAGCACAGATGCATTTTTTTTTTCATTCTGAACATTTTTTAAGTGAATTTGCTTCATCTGTCACACATCAGACACAGGTTTCATTGGTGTTTTCATCTGTGTACTCTCATCAAGCACCATCTAACCTCAAATCAGCATCAGGACTCAGGTATGGCATTTGAGGGCCACAGAAGCCCACAGCCTTGATTGCAGCTGCTGAGGAAGAGGGGATTCCTTTCCTTGCCAAGGACAACTGCTCTGCTTGGACCCTTATTACTATTCACCTCTGGCTCTTCAGTCCCATCTCACCACCCCGCCCCCATCTCCATTTTCTCTTAAATGACTGGCTCACTACCAGCTGTTGACAAATATGCCTTAGAAAGCCTTCCCCTGACTCTACTGTGCCCTCAGCTATCATCCATTCACTCTCGGCTCTCACGGCTTCCATTTCTCCTCTCATTCATGTTCTTCCTCAGTGAAGAGGACGCCTCCTCCTTCTTCCCTCACGTCCCCCACATCCAACCGCTTGTCAAGTCGACCAGCACAACACATCTCCCCTTCTGTCTTCTCTCCACTCACAGAACAACTACCGAGCTGAGGCCCTCATCGGGCCTCATCTACCCCAGTAAAATGACTCCTAATTGGTCCCTGAGTCTCAAGAATTATGCCTCTCCAAATCTCATCCATATATCTGATGAAGCAATACTCCTACTTCCCAATCTATTCAGTCTGCTTGAGTTGTTCCTATCACGTCTAGGATCAAAAACAAGCTCCTCTGCGCGGCACTGAAGCTCAGCTCCAGAACTCTCTGGTTCAGCCATACTGGCCTTCCAGCTATTCCCAGTCCCCCAGTGCATGCGTCAGGGTAGAGCGCCTCCCATGCCTAGAACAGAGCCCTCGCCTCCAACTGCTCAGATCTGCAGCCAGCTGCTGAGAGCCCCGTCCTGATTCTCCGGATGCTCCTGCTTCCCTGAGATATTTCCCGTTTTTCGTCTATATTTAAATTTAAATAAAATGTAAGATCCTTAAGGGCAGGGGCTGTTTCATGCTCGTCGTCTTTGTACTCACAGCCCAGCGCCCAGCCGGTCATCCACCCTTCACGCTAGAGACTGAGACTCGCCCATCGTTCAGCTACTGGTACAGTGCCAGCTCTGACCTAACAGCCCATATGAGAGTCTGCAAAGTGCTTTTCTCACTAATGAGTGGCAAGGCTGGGGTGTGAACCGCGGCCTCCACCTCCCAATTTCCTCCCCTTGGGGCTGCTGACTTACTCTACACTTTAGTAACTGTCACTTACCCAAGTTTACTAAGGTACGGTAACACTCCACTTGAACTGAGGTAATGAGTAACCATCCCACTGCCAGGAGATAAGCTTGTTCTGATGTAAGGTTTAACCCGGAGACCAGCTTCAACAGCTTTTTTCGCCAACAGACCTATACAAAGTCAACATGCTACATGTTATACCAGTTTTCAAATAACAATAAGCCCCAGGACAAAAAAAATTTTTTAAAAATACCTTAAAGCCTAATTCTCTGCCCCAAGACTCATCCGGTATAATAAAGTGATCTCTTGCATTGAGAAGGGTAACAGACAACTCTTCCTCTTCAAGGCAGAAGGAGACGTGGTAATATCTTTTACTATGTATAAAATAAACCTAAGCCTCCCTCATTTACTGTAGACATCACCTTCCTCCTCAACTAAAATCCTATTATTATGCCTCATCATGATATGGAAATGACTCTGAGTCATTTCCATATCATGATGAGACGTAAGTGTGCTACTGCCCAAGCTTCAACAGAGCCTTCCCCAAGCCAGAAAGACTTTAGACAAACTGTCCGCCTACCAAAGACCAGCCTTTCTGAGCTCTGAAAGGCTCCTCAACAGGTTGGCTTTAAGGTAATTTATTTTAAAATGACAGCAACTTGTTGAAGACTGCCCATCACCAAGTCACAGAGGGACTGAGAGCTATATGGGTGGAGGGAGTTAGTGACACCCATGAAATCATAAAGCCTTGAAATACGCCAGACTGGCTGCTCCAGTTGGTCAACCTTTTCCATTAAAAGTAACCCACAATGTGGTAGATCCCTGCCATTAAAAAATGATATTCACAAAAATCATGATAACGCAAGTTTTACACTCAATTATACACAAACGTGTTCAGTAAATGCTTCATATTTGTCTGGTCTTTTAAACTTTTTGGATGCAGGCACCATTTCTGATGTTTCTTTTGAACATCTTTATAGTACCAGGGACAGAGTAAATAACCTAAGATTCACTGACTGATTACCATGATTCCAGATGGGAACATGAAATAAAAAGCCTAAGACTTATAGTCGCTCTATTCCTTTTTTCTTTTTTTTTTTGGTGAGGCAATCGGGGTTAAGTGATTGAGGCTAGATTTGAACTCAGGATCTCCTGACTCCAAGGCTGGAGCTCTATCCCCTGCACCACCTAGCTGCCCCCAGTCACTCTATTTCTTAACAAATAGGTGGAGAATCACCAGAACTTCCGCATAATTATGTTTAATTATATTTCCGCATAATTAAACCAAAGTCTGTAACAAAAACATCTTGGAGCCAATCAAAACCCATAAGAAAGCCTCTTGGGGGTGAGGCACCACATGAGGGATGTGGTGCCACATCTGCGGGAGGTGATGCTTCTGCATCGTTTCCCTAGTGGTGAGGATAAACAGCCAAAGAGAAGCTGGGGAAGGGAAGGGCCGCTGGCTGTAAGCTAAGGTATACCTGCAGCAAGCATGACAGATGGATTGCAGTTGTTGGTGCAGCTGATCACTGCAGCAATGACAACAGATCCATGAGACAATTCATACTCAATTCCTTCATATTGAATAGGCACGACATCATTTTGTTTTTCAGCGGCAATCTGAAAGCCTTTAAATCCAACCTGCACAAAATCGTACAAATCCATTACCTTCATTTGCCCTTGTCTACAACACAGTAGTTTTACCCCCCACCACCTCCCCACCATTTAACCAACACCAAGCATGTACAGTTGGAAGGAGACATCTTTCTACAAGTGAGTCAATTTTCAAATTATCCCTGTTAAGGTAACCCAACAATCAGCTGCCTCTCATTTTATCAGACCAAGGCCACAGAAAACACTCATATAACCTTCCCACCACGGGAATTTCAGAGCAGTCATAAAGGCCTTAAAAAAGAGGCTGTGGAATAGGGCTAGAAAAGCCATCAGGGAAAGTGCTGCCATTCCCCCAGCAAGCCTGGGAAGAGCTGACTAAAAGAAATGGCTCGGCTGGGTTACTGGAGAAAGAGGCAAGCAGTATTTGGTTACTTACATTCCTATTATACAAAATACTGGTGTGCTAAGTATATTACCTTTTTGCAACATTGCGCGCTATTAAATGAGCATGGAAAGTACAACCCGAAATGATTTACCTTTTCATTTAGGCAAGCCTGGAAATCACTTTTCATATCACTCACAGCCACTCGATCCTGGGGCCTCTTTGGACCACTGACAGATGGAATTATAGAGTTCAGATTAATCTGTATTATCTAGGAGAGGAAAAAGAATTAGTATTCATAGCTGCAGTCTCCAGTGTGTAGAGTACCATCTATCTTAGCAGTCTAAGTCCATCCATATGATCATATTTTTAAAACTCAAGAGCCCAATTTTAATTAACTTTCATATTGGGCTTGAACACTGTGCTAAAAGCAGAGCAGAATCTTATGCAGCCCTCCCTAGGAGGGGCTGTGTGCAGTCAGTAACCCAAAGTTCGAATGACCCTCTGCTGACACCTCACGATAGTAGTTGCTTATTTTTGTGTAAATGTATTCTTGAGTTCAATATGAAAGGTTCATGCGTACATCTGACTTTGCTGAACCTTCCTTTGGGATACAATAGAAACTAATGCAGGGATAGATTTAATTTAACAAAGTCAAATGTGTCATAAATTAGCAATGGTTCTCCTTATGTTGGTATATACTGCCCTTCCTTCCCACCACAGGATCACAGGATCTGAAGGGCTACAAGGGATCTGAGAGGTCACACAATCAGATCGTCTAGTGCCATTTCCCACCCATGTAGGAACTCTCCTCTTCATGACATCCCTGACTGTTTGAATTACTATTTCACAAAGGAGCTCAGGTCATTGTTGGAAGTCTCCATTTTTAAAAAAGTTCTTCCGTACACAATGAGCCAAAAGCTGTTTCACTGTAACAGGATTAGTCATAGAAATCATGGAGCTGGGGCTGGAAGGATTAATTGTGGTTCTGCCTCTGGAGCTACAGAGATTCTAAACTCCTCATTTACATGACAGCCTTTTAGATATTGGAAGCCAAGTGTTACATCCAATCCAAGTCTTCTCTTCTTGAAGCTAAACGTCCCCAGTTTCTTTCAACTGTTCCTCAAGAGACTTAAGTTCTCCACCCTTTAATAGCCTGGTTGCCAGACTCATTGCATAGTCAACATCCTTCCTAAAACGTGGTACCCAGAACTGAACTCAACACACTAGATGTCTGACCAACACAGAGAACAAAGGTAATTCAACATTTTCCAAATGCATCTGTTTCTTTCAGGAGTCACAAAGGATATTAATAGTTAAAACATAGCTTGTAGTAAGAAAACCCCAGGACCTTTTCCTACACCAACTGCCATCAAGCCAGGTCTCCCCCATCTTGTACTTGTGTAATTGATTTTGTAACAACAAATGAATAACAAGTATGCACATTAAATTTCCATCAGGTTAGTTTTGGCCTGTCAAGACATTTTTGAATCTTGACTCTGATATCCAATGAATTCAGCTTTGTTATAACGATAAATATGGCAAACATATCCTTCCAGGTCTTTTTATCAGTTGTTGGGAAAAGCTGACAAGACTGAACAGTGGACTGTGGAATTCCATTAGGGAACATACTCCCATATTAATATATGGGTCCATTAGTCAACATTCTGTTGGTATGGGTGCACCTAACTAGACTATCATTCCCCTCACATTTCTTCATCTTCGCCACAAAGATGTTTTACCCTTCTCCCATGTGAAAGACAACCAGAGGTATCAGCCCTGGAAGTTCTGCAGGAACTCTATGATTTATTTATTTACTTCCTAATTTGGAATAAATGACTTATTATTTGGAATAATAACTACTTAGCAGGGGAGAAGAAATGAGAATCATGGAAGTTTTAAGACAGAAGAGACCAGATGACCTGACTGATGGTCTGACCACTCAGATCCCTCGTAGTCCTTCAGGTGCCTATGATCCTGGGGCAATGCACTGAAAGGAGGTGGGAAGGAAGGAAAGCAGGCCTCCAGACAGGCCTAAGGAACACTCAGTGACCAGAGGCCCCTGGGCTGCTCTCAATATACCAACGTAAGAAGAACCACTGCTAATTTACAACACATTTGACTTTATTCAATTAAATCTATCCCTGCATTAGTTTTTGTTTTGTCCTAAAGTTCAAAGTTGGATGCTGTCAAGAGTCTTTCGCATCGCAAACAAGAAATAACTATTCTCCTAATAAATCCTAGTTTTTTTTTTTTGTTGTTTTTAGGCAATTGGGGTTAAGTGACTTGCCCAGGGTCACACAGCTAGTAAGTGTCAAGTGTTTGGTCTGAGGCCGGATTTGAACTCAGGTCCTCCTGACTTCAGGGCCGGTGCTCTATCCACTGCGCCACCTCGCTGCCCCTAAATCCTAGCTTTTGAGACATGAAAGTTGATATAGATTTCTTCCTACTACTTAATATATATTTTGGAGTGGGAAACCTACCTTTTGCGAGTAAAACAGAGTCATTTATATACACTAACTGCTAAGAAATTATGAAATTGGTTTGAACACTAAGGGAAATTAACATGAAGTAGAAGGACACAAGCAACAAGTGCTGCTTGAGCGCGTGCTCTCTCGGTGCCAGGCACGGCACCAGGCCCTGGGGACCCCAGACGAGAGCCACCAACTGGCCCGTCATACCTGAGAATACTCGGGCTCTGCCGGAGAATCCTGGTCACTTCTAAACAACTTCACAGCTTTAAGGTACGTTTCCACTGATGCAAGCTTGTCTCTGTCAAAACCTGACGGGGAGGGCAGAAAGGTTTTGTAAGGAATAATTCTTTTAGGGAGGGAGGAAGATCACTTATTACTACAATGAAACCTCAACACTGAATTTTCTGTAACGCAGTTCTCGACAGAATCCTGAAACTGGACAGATTGTGTACTTCACAAAAATTCTCCCATACGGGTTGTCAAGAACACATCGACATTCTTTCCATTCTCTTACCCGGTCAGAAACACTGATCGCTGAAACAGGAAATGTGACAATACTTCATTTTATCAAAGACAATCGGTCCCTGGTGGATGTGCAATCATCTCATTTCCCTGGATTCTCTGCCCCAGAGATGCCTTTGGCTCCTATGAACTTCACCTCAATCATCACTTATTACCCAAGGGTCCACCACGTGCTGAGCCCTGTGCAACGTGCAGCCTACGGAGACCAGCCCTCCTCACAGATAGACATGACACAGTGTGAGGGACAAGAAGAGATTTTACTTGGGCTTCAAGAACACTGGAGGAAGAGACTGGAAGGCTACATGGAGACCGTACCTGGGAGCAGACTTGAAAGAAGAGGAGACATGTGAAAAATAGAGAGGGGATTCCTCTTCCAGACGTGGGAATTGGGCTGCATGAAAACAAGGAGAAAGGTGATGATAATACATCAAGTTGGAGGAAAAGCTCAGCTGGAAAGCCAGAATCAATGAAAAAAGCAATACGAGTAAGGTCTGAATTAGATTATGGAGGACCTTGAAGAGCAGGGTGAGGAGCCTGTCTTTTTTCCTGGGGCAATGAGGAACCAGTGAAGATTCTGGAGCTGGAGAGTGATGAGTAGATTTGTACCTTAGGAAGATGATTTTGGTAGCTGTGTAGAAGATGGATTAGAAGCAAGACACCCTATTAAGGGAAAGGGGGAGAACAAGCATTTATTAAGCACCTACTATGTGCCAGGCACTGGGCTAAGCTAATTTACAACTATTATTTCATCTGATTTTCACAACAACCCTGCAAGATAGGTCTTATTATTATCCTCATTTTACAGTTGAGAAACTGAGGCAAATAAAGGTTATGTGACTTGGCCAGGGTTCCAAGTCAGTAAACGTCTAAAGTCAAATCTGAACTCAGGTCTTCTTGATTCCAGGCCCAATACTCTATCCACCATGACACCTAGCACTGTTGCAATATAGACTAGGTTAAAAAAAAAAAAGTTCAATAAAGACCTGAACTAGGGTGGTGGCCCCGTACATGATGAGAAGAAAACATGTTTAGGAACAGTTTAGGAAGAGAATCAACAAGACGTGACAACTGACTGGATAGGACAAGATGGCGGTGGCTGCTACGGAAGGGAGGATGATATGGTTGGGGAACAAACCTTTGGAGATACAGAGGAGGCAAAATGAAGCAGAATCAGGGCACGGAGAGATAGGAGGTAGGGTCACACAGGCAGCAGAACCCAGAGAGCTCAGTCATGGAAGTCACAGGAAGCTGTACCCAGGAAAAGGCATGGTTAAGAGCACCCAATGCTGACAAAAAGTCAAGAAGGACGGAAACTGGGAAAAGGAGACCCAGCTGGTTATGAGGAGGGCAGCAGTAACCTTTGGAAAGCAGCTTTTGTGGAGCAGTGGGCCTGAGTCACACTGAAAGGACGTGAGGAGCGAGGGAGCGCCGAGGCAGTATGCATACACCGGTCTTTCCAGATGTGCAGCAGAGGAAGGAGGGAGGTTCTGGGCAGTAACTCGATGAGGATGTTTGTAAGCAGCACCCTTGGCTATTGCAATGGTCCAGGGACGAGGGAACAAGGGCCTGCCCCAGGGTGGTGGCCATGTCAGAGAATGGGTGTGGACAGGAGATGTTGCTGAAGATACAACCAAGACTGGCTAGGAGGGGTGAGAGTGCATGATCGAGGTCACCGCCCAGATTTCAGGACTGGGGAGGATGATGTGGTGACGGAGAACTCAGGAAGAGGGAGGGTAAGGAGGTCAGTCTTGGCTGAGCTGCGTGTAAGATGTCCCTTAGGCAGCCGGAGATGTGAGGCTGGAGGTCAGGGGAGAGATTAGGGCCGGAAGAGTGAGGACATGGAGCAGACTGAAGCAAAATGACAGAAACAGGGCTGAGTTGAGGTTAGGAAACAGGCCCGGGCAGCCTCATTTTCTACTCTTTCCCCCGTCCCACCTGAAGTTCTAGCCAATTTGGATCCTCATGCTTATCCTGCCTTTTCCCACAATCCTCCACATGGATGGAGGCTGTTGTCCACTGCACTCCCTCCTCATCTCTGCTTGCTGAAATCCTCTGCCTTCCAAGAACCAGTTAGCATGCCACCACCTCCACAAAGCCTTCCCTCATTGCCCCAGTTCAAAGTGGTCTTTTCTCTCTGAATCCAACTTCTGTAATTAGACTGTAATGGCACAGAGGGAGGGGACTGTCACTTTTCATCTCTCTCTTCCCAGCACAGTGGCTTGGTTACAGTAGGCACTAATAAGTGTGTTTCACAAGGGGAGAAGCATGGTTTAGTGCAAAGAGCCCTGGATTTTTAGGCCAGAGACCTGAGTGCACTCACACCATGTGTGATTGTCAGTGACTCTTCTCTGCATTTCACTCTAAACTGAGGGGGTCAAACTCTATTCCCTTCAAAGGCCTCTTCTCTAAAGTTCCCATCGAGTCCTAGAAAGGAGCGGCATAGGCCCTGACAAGGCAGCTGTGGAGCAGGGAGGAGCAGAGAGGATCTCTTAGAATGAATGTGGCCTGCTTCCGGCCTCAGCTCTCAGCCCAAGAGTAAGACGCATGAGATTGTTTCAGCAGCTTCTATATGCTCTGGTCTGGTGGACTCTCATCCCCACTGAAGAGTGGAGAAGAGCCTTCTGTATGAGGTTTGGCTTCCTGAAACTGCTCGACCTAGAGCCAGCCCTGGAAGGGCAGAAGGAAGAGGGCTGGACAGCGGCAACTTGGAGGGATGACCCTTCACAAAGTTCTGGGAATGGGCTGAAGGTGTCTCTTGGCTTGAGGCCACAGCACTTGAAGACCCTGGGCCCCCTCCAGGAGCGCGTCTGACCAACATTATAAAACCCATCAAGCATCACTGTCTGTTACCTCAAGGTCTTCTTACCTGTATGTTCTAAGTGCTTTAGTGTCACATTATCAACAGGGAAAAAGCTCAGAATAGCACCATATTCAGGACACATGTTTGCTATTGTGGTTCGGTCAGTCACCGAGAGCTGAGCAACGCCACTCCCAAAGAACTCAACAAACTTTCCAGCCACTCCTGCTTGTCTGAGGTGCTGCATGGAGGAATGCACAGAGAAGAGAGTTATTCCCCACGGCCAAAGTGTCGGATCCAAAGCCCATCACCACCAATAGAGCAAATTCTTCAGGCTCATAGGAGACAAGGTCCTGATGTGGGTAACCGAAAATCCACAAAGCGCATTTCAGCCATCACAGGCTACAAATCCATTAGCACTGAAAAGTCTTCATAATGACCAGCAGTTCAAATCTTAAAGACCCAACTACTTCCTGTGTTACTGAAGTCAATCAAGCACAAAGAGAGCATTTAGTGCAGGCCCTCATCCCAATGACGTAACTGAGTTTAACAGGAGGTTCTGACTTTGTCAGCTAGAACACCAGGACTTGACCCTCGTCCAACCAGCGCAATTGTCTCCAGGGGAGGTGAGGGAAAAGCTCTGCTTGATCAACACTCCCCTACCAGACACACAATCATCAAAGGCAAAGAAGAGCTACAGCAGGAATTCCTTACACTTCACAGGCTTTCAAGCTTTTCTTTTTTCTTTCTTTCAAGATCTTTTCTGACTAGTCATGAGGCAGACAGTCTGAGCTGGCCCACCCCCATCTCACAGACCAGGAAAACCTGAGGTTTAGAGCGGAGAAGAGGCCTGCCCAGCACAGAGTCATGGGAGGAACTTTTCTCCAAGGGCCCCATCTCTTTCACTACTGAAAACAAACCACTGAATCACAGAAGGGTTAAGAGTCAGAAGGAGCCCTAATGATTAGATCATCTACTCCTGCGCTTTCCTTTTACAGAAGAGGGGACGTGTACCTAGAAGTGACTTTAGGAAACCAAATATTTGTGATACACTTCCAGGTAGCTAAAAGAGGAAGACAGAGAAAAATGCTGAGTGGCATGTTTTTGTCATGTGCTTAATAAAGGGCCCAAATGACCTTCCTGAAAAACAAAAGATAATTAATGCTGAAAGGCCACTGATTAAAAAGCACTCGGGAAGAAACAGCAAAAGAAAGATATAAACCAACCAGTGGACCTGATCATCAAAACCAAATTAAAATAATGCTATACCAAATGGCTCTAAAAAGGAACACTAATTTTTAGGGATGGATATAGGAGGGTGAGGGGCAGTATCTCAGATTTTCTCTAAAACCTAATGGATTCTTCCTTTTTTACTAGAAATGCCCTCACAAGCCTCAAGTTAGCCTCTATTATCTTTTGAGACCTTTATCAATCATTTCTCTAGCTTGTCAACCTATCTCCTAATCAGGGAACAGGGCAGTACTCATGGTGGGAAATTACCCTTTTGTGCTCCCCTGTGGGATGCCCTAGATGCACTCCCAGGGGTGGCTATCAAAGATTCACTCAACTAAAAAAGTAGAATTGGTTCACTGACAACCTGCCATCATTGTGCTTTTAGGATCAAAAATTGTCAAGGTTCAGTTAAAAAAGTAATGAAAATGTTCAGAAAACTGAAGCTAGAAGGAAACAACTATCTCCCATTTATTAATCAACCTACCCAATGTGAAACACACACACGCACGCTTGCACACGCACACATACACACACAGAGGATGCCAGCATACACTCCCTCCCCCCCTTTCCTTGTAGGACCTTGGACCACTCACAAGCTGATGAAGGAGACTGATTCCAAGGCCAGTACTACCCACTACTCCCTGCTGCTTCTCTGACTAAATAAAATTAAAGGGCCAATTATTAAATTAGGTAGGAGAGATCTAGTTTAGCCTTTTCTCTATAAAGGCATTTATAGCCAATGAAGTGTTATGGTTAGCTAATAATTTTACTCAAGGCCCTGAGCTGAAAAATACTGCCATTTCAACAGTTTAATGACCTGTGATTTAGGCAGGGACACTGAGGGACACAAAACTCTCCTGTTCTGACTCAGCAGAGCTCCTAGAGTTGCTTTGGCTGAAAAATTCATCCTTTGTGATGATCCCAGTAGCAAAGATGTTCCTCAGTTCCTCAGCTGGCCTGTCCCACTCAGCAGGACAGGTCAGTTTACATTCCACTGGCTTGTCCTTCAAGAACGAAGTTACCTACATGTCAGGACAAAGCAGAGCAGGGCTCTGGAGAAGGTGGCTGACAAAACTCTCCTAGAAATAAAATTAGCAAGACTGTCTACTGAAATAGTATTTTAACTTACCTTTGTAATACCAAGAACCACATCTATGGATGTCGCCAAAGAACCTGACGACCCAATCAACTCACACCCGACCACCTCTGGCAAAGTAAGAGAGACTGGGAGACCAAGCATGACTGCTTCTGTCTCGATGCCACCAACTCCTAAGAAACAGATTAAAGTGCACCTATCAGTATGCACACTGTATTCAGAAACAATGATGTCTGCATTTTCTTTATGTCACCTCACACAAACTGTCATAAGAGGTGGCTCTTTGTAGGAGGCACTGGACAAGGAGTGCCAATGCCCAGTTCAACCCCTGAAGCAGTCTTTATCCAAAAGTCAGTCTGCTAAGAGTACTGCAATTTGAGATGGGCAAGCTCCTCCAGAGCAACAAGTTACAGAATAGCTAAGTCCTCTCACCTTTATGGATGAGGAGGCTGGGGGCTTGAGGGGGTGGGGGTAGGGTGAATCACATGAGCTTTACACTGACGGGGGAAGAGCCACTGTGTCCTACCGTCTCCTGACTCCTGTGGCAGGGATTATGGGATCACTTACCACCCTGACACTGTGAGTTCACCCACCAAAACAGTTGTATGTTTCTCTATCCTTGACCTAGACATTCTTTTTTGATAGCCAACTCTCTTGAGCAGGGTGAGGAGCAGCCAGCCAGGAGTTGTGCAAGAACCGAAGAGCTCACCCGAGATGAAGCTCTCACTCCCTCCAGGGGTCACGCTGGCTTCTCCACAACTCCCACTCAATGCACCCTCCTTGGGTGAGTGAGTTTCCCAGGGCCCAAATGAGAGAAGACCAAGATGGTCTGCACTGCTGCACTGCGGGTCTTTGTGTGATGAAGGAAGAGCTACAAGCTTCATCAACATTTCATAATGACAGTGACGGGTCATCTGTGACACATGGAATTTGGGCTGCCTCTCTGACTCATCAGTGATTGCAAAGGCGACAGCTTTAAAAAGCAGTGGGACCTAAAATGACAACTTTTGAGGCTGCATCTTTATCAGATATGCCTGACCTAGGCATCTGTCTGCATGCATGAAACCTCTCTGGTTAACAGGCAGCAGGAAAAGAAGAGACACAGTGATGATGGACCTTTTAAAACCGGTCACTTCTAGACTAAATGAGAGAATCAATTTTCACTTAAGAAATAACAGTAGCACCTAGGCTAGTTGCAACAAACAGGCCGTGCCGTTACTTACCCCACCCCAGGATGCCCAAGCCATTCACCATCGTTATGTGAGAATCTGTTCCAACCACACTGTCTGGGAAGAATACATTCTCTCCTTCAAACACCACTCTCGACAAATACTCCAAATTTACTTGATGGGCCATTCCAGTTCCAGGGGGAATTAGAGTCACATTCTTAAAAACTTTTGAACTCCACTATATTATTTACAAATAAAAAAAATGGAAATGTTAGTTCATGCATGTAGCAATTTGTGATTATTTCATAATTATGCATAAATCAACATTTAAGGAGATAATGCCCAATTTAAGGTCTCCACAAGACAACAAAATATCAAAATATTAACCTTACAAAATAAACTTGGAAGAAAAAAATTTTAACTTCAAATACATAAGAAAAGAAAAATGCTCAATATATTCCTGATGTATGAAATCTTTCATTATTTTGCACATCTCCATGCAAGTGTTTTAATTCCTCCAATGATTTAAATACCTTGAAAAATTGGAGCCTCTCTCGATTTCTGCCAAATTCTACCTCTTGGTTTTTTAACACTGTTTCAGGCCTAGAGAGGAAAACAGCCACTATTAAACCTACTCATTGCTACACAAAACAAGCATTGTCTTCTTTAAATCTACCCCTCCTACCTCCACCCCATAAATCCTTAGGATTTACTGGACTTTCCCCAATTATATGATTTTATTTTGCAACCATAAAAAAGCATTCCTCTTAAGCCAGAGGATGGGGATTTTGTCATCTTATAATATCAAATGAGATAGCAAATGTTAAACCCTTTGACAAGCCTACATAGATATTAGCTATTATTGTTATTTGCTCCTGTTTCTGCTAGGTCCTCAAAACATAATCAACACTAGGAGAAGTTTGGGGAAATTTACTTTCGTTTGTCTTACAGTTTAGACAAAACCAAGATAAAAGCATGTGAGAGGCTTTGGTGGGCCTTGCTGTAGAAGGAAATCAACAATCAATAAATAAACACCTTTAACACCTATCATGTGTCACTACTGTGTTAGGCCCAGGGAACAGAAACAAATATAAGGGTGCCATAGTGAGCCTTACCCTAAAGGAGCTTAGGTGAAGAAGATAGATGATTGGAAGTGAGTTCAGAAACCAACACATGAATTTCCAACCACCTGACCAGGAGTGTAGACATGGACTCCTTCCAAATGGCAGATTTCCTCTGCTACTCCTCTATCAATCCTTATGCTACAGAAATTTACAAGTACACTTCATATATTGCGATTTTACATTATGTCAACCAACATATTACAACCAAACCCTGCCATATCATCACAAAACCTAGCTGGAACAATATTCAGACCCAGATAAAAAGGTCATGTGTAAACCCCCGAAGCGTTAACTCTCCAGGCCCTCCAACTAATGTTTCCAGCATCACATTTTCACCACAGGAAATGCCTGTATTTTAAATGGTCTAATCAGTGTATTATACAAAAGTGCTAAGTACTCAAGTTCTAAGGAAGAAGAAATCATTAGAAATTGTTTTCCTCCCCAAAACAACCATTATTATAAGGTTAATGTTTGAAGTTACTTCAATCAAGGTGAAATTAAGAAGAAAAAATTTCAGTGGCCAGTTGACAATTAACTGTTGACTATATCCTCAATGATAAACCTTACAATTAAGGTATATTAACTATCCCCTAGGCACTATCAGTTCTTACAGCATTTTCCCAATCTGGGTTCTCTGAACAATGCATTGACCTGCAATCACTTGAACCCATATGAATTTTCGGTACCCTATGGGAGACTCTAAGGAAGAAACAATCTTCCTAGACACTCAAATTCAGTGTCTTACTCTATAATAAATGTGTGAATTAAATCTTATTCTTTAAAGTAGGCAGCAGTAATTCCAAATGTGGAGTTCATACTACCATTCCCTTACTTTTTGCCGAATTCTATCTTCCTGTTACTGACTTCTTTCAAACATCTCTATCATGCAAATTCTAATGAATTTGTAAGAAGAGCTGGAATTTAAGAATATCTTGAAGGGTCAAGCTGCATCAGTTGACATAGCAAATTTTTTTTAATCCACAAGGCAAAGAAAATAGAGATAAAATGAAAATTTTTATTTCACAGTGAAATTGTAATAAAATGTTTGCCTCAATAGTTGCAGCTGGTCCTTCTTGTATTCATGAATATATAAGATGCTACCTTTGCTTCCATGCATGCAGCAGTGGGGTGGACTGTAACCTTTTTTGAGTTCTATCATTTAAAAGTCAAGTCCAAAAGAAATACTAGTACTAAAAAAAAATAGCAAGCAACTCTCCTCTCACTACTTCAAAAGGATTCCACATTTTGCCAACTTGAAGATAATGAATTTAGAGCATTAGCAAAAAAAGAATCAATGCATTCTTATATCATCTTCCCTTTCAGATTAGCTTCTACATAGGAAGATATGTTATATTTCAAAGTTGACAGCCATCTAATTAGTCAGGATGACATGAGTGGCTACAAAATTAGATGGTTGTTAAAAGATTTACAGATTATACAGAATTCTGGGAAAGGGCAAGTGAGGGCTCTATAGATTGTCACTTATAAACTAGGCAGAAATACTGGAGTTCAATAACAAATCAAGATGCTGTGTACGAAGGCCCGAGCAAAATGCACAGGTTGGTTGAATCCTTTCGGAATTCTTTTTAAGTGTTTTATCTTCAAAAGGAAAGAAATTCGAGCTCTAAGCAAGATATCAGCCATCTCCATCACTAAAAGGAATAGTACTTTATTTTCATTATGTTAATTACAATGATTTTCATGTCTCAAAAAAATTATTTAGGGCAACTTCAGAATCAATCAGGGATCCACGCCCAAGATTTGCTGTGAAAAATGACAAACTTGAAGAAAATGTTATAGCTCTACCAGTGCTTAAATAAGCAACTCTACTTGGAAGGATTTATGGGGGAAAGTGATACAACCTTTAGTTCCCTAAAAATTATTTTCCATCAAAATGTAAACTAAAATACTTGTAATCAAATGTCTTCTGGAAGACTAAGACAGAGGAGGATGCAGAGGAAAGAGTGCAAGCCTTGAAGCCAGCTTCTAATCCAGTCCCAGCACCTACTCCTAGAGGACCCTGGGCAAGAAGGTAACTTTGCTGACACTTAGTTTTCTCACCTAAAGAGCCAAGTGTAACACAACAGTTCTGAGGAAAATGCTGTCTAAAACTCAAAGTACTCTGTCAATGTCAGAGCCAAGCTACCACAATTATAGCAGCTTACCACAGCTCCGATAACCTTTGAAAGCTCTCAGTGACTGTCCACCAAAAAGGAAATCTATTTTCTGCAGTAAATAACACTTTCTGTAGTAAATCAAATTCATAAACTGACTTTACACAAAATCTTTTCCCAAGCTGAGCTCATGATCATTCCCCATCTAGATGGCAATAAGTCATTTATTTCAGTGAGCACTTAGAAATCATTACAAAATTCTGGAGCCGTTGGGGACCTTGGAGCTACTCTCACTGTAAAGATGGGACAGCTCTGTCTCTGAGAGGGCAAGTGAAGAGCCCAAGGCCACCCAGCACAGCACATCTAAATGGATTCTCTTGCCCGCCAACACTTGGCAGGTGACAGGCCAAATTCATTACTATGGCTTGCTTGAAAACTCGAAAAGCAAAGAACTGAATGCTTCCCAGCTTTGAAATGGAGTTCAAACCAGGAACTAGGACACAATGAAACAGGTAGGTTCTAAGCCATTTCCTGGCTGTTTGAACCTCTAGACCAATTGGGCAATGCCAGTTGGCAAACATTCTGAAGTCCCCCAACTTCACTTAATGGTGTCGCTCCAAGACTAGCTGAAGCCTATTTCTGGACCCCATTATTTAGGGGAAGTTAACTTTCTACTAAGATTGACGTAAGGCTTCCAAGTTCTTCAATTACCTTTCCTTGCAAGTGGAGAGGGAAGAACATGTGAATCAGTCTGCCTCATTAGCAAAAATCAACAGAATAGAGTTTCCTTGGTGCTTTTAAGCAATTCTCAAAACTGTACGGCTTTCATCCCCTTGATAACAAATTTGATTGCTTTGATAACAATGTTTCCCTCATTCTTCAAACTGTCATTGCCAAGAAAAATAAAAATATTGTTGGAAGGTCATTTCAAACATGCAAAAACACTCAATACTACCACTACTATAGGCTAGTAACCTTTCATATTAATCATATTTTGCTTTTTTTTTAAAAAAGATGTCATTTCCACTGGGAAAAAAACAATCGAGCACTAGTAAATGGCAATGAGAATAGGTTCATACTCAGGCACTGGTTGTAAATGAAAAGGACACAGGAGAGGTGTGTTCTCAATCTGCGCAGAAAATTTTCCTGAGTTGCGGCCCAGTTCTCCAGTATCACACGGCCCTCGGCAGACGGTCTGGCCTCTGCAAGAGACTTTTCGAGGCTGGACTTTAAGTGGAGAAAGTTTGCCTGTTGTTTTCTGCAGGTCACCACCTCCAGGATTTGGAGCATTTTGTATTGCACTATTATTCCGAAAAGAAAAAAACAGTCCATAAAGCAAGATTGTTGAATAAAAGTAGAATAAATTTAGCTTGCCAAAATAACTGACGTGAAGTTTAAGAAAAGACTTCAAAATGGGCTCATTAGCTTTCCTTAAGGAAAATGAAGATTTTATAAACAAAAACTAACCCAACATAAAACAAGAGAGCAAAGTCCAGACTACAGAAAACAAATAGGAATTAATTTAATACATAAGATAGAATTAGATTTTTATATAAGCATCTAAATGAAATCATGGTTTTCAGGTTATATTCTATTACATTTAAATAACAAAGTATTTTTAAAATTCTACAATGGACCTTTTTCTTATTAAATAACACCAATTTAAAACCAGTTCTTCAGCCAGAGCTTTAATTTAGTGTATAGGATAACAATCTCTCTCATGGGTTATATGAATCCTTGGTTTAAAATTCATTCTACTACCCATCCAAGGGATGGGAAAGCTGCTTGTAAAACAGCTGACTAAACAAAAGCCTCATATTCCTCTCTTAGCTTCATCAGAGACAGGCCTGTCAATGGAGAGAGCTGAAATGTTAATGGAAGGGCAACAATCTGAAGGGGCTCAATACTTTCATCTATCACTTCTATCCATGTGGATATGACCCATAAGAAGGCCTTTGGAAGAAAAAAGGAAGTTACAAATGCACTTTAGAGTTTCCTTTGACCAAAAGGTAGTTTCTCTAAAAACTTCAGAAAAGGTACAAATTCTTATCTAAAAGTCGATAGCAACATTCAAACTAGAAATACAGGATAAACACTAATAAAATCTTTACTAGCACAAAAAATTCACTAGCCTACAAACTTTTACCACTCCTTTTCTTTAAATCTAAATAATTTGAAAAACATCAGTTGCTTATGGGCAGGATGAGCTAAAATAACAAAAATGACAATTATACCTAAGCTAATTTACTTATTCAGTGCCATGCCAATCAAACTACCAAAAAATTATTTTAGAGAGCTAGAAAAAATAATAACAAGATTCATTTGGAATAACAAAAGGTCCAGAATATCAAGGGAACTAATGAAAAGAAATGCAAGGTAAGGTGGCCTAACCATTCCAGATCTTAAATTGTATTATAAAGAAGTAATCATCAAAACTGCTTGGTACTGTCTAAGAAATAGAGTGGTGGATCAGTGGAATAGGTTAGGTACGCAAGACATAGTAGTCAATGACTACAGTAATCTATTATTTGATAAACCCAAAGACCCTAGCTTCTGGGATAAGAACCCACTCTTTGACAAAAACTGCTGGGAAAACTGAAAAAGAATATGGCAAAAAGTAGGCATAGATCAAAATCTCACACCATATACCAAAATAAAGTCAAAATGGGTTCATGATTTAGATATAAAGACTGATACTATAAGCAAACTAGGAGAGCAAGGGATAGTTCACCTATTAGATTTATGGAGAACAGAAGAATTCATGACCAAACAGGAGAAAGAGAACATTATGAAAAGCAAAATGGATAACTTTGATTACATTAAATTGAAAAATTTTTGCACAAAGTCAATGCAACCAAGATTAGAAGGAAGGTAGAAAACTGGAAAAGAATTTTTATAACCAGTCTCTTTGATAAAGGCCTCATATCTAAAATATATAGAGAATTAAGTCAATTTTATAAGAATACAAGTCATTCCCCAATTGATAAATGGTCAAAGGATATGAACAGGCAGTTTCTCAGGTGAAGAAAGTAAAGCCATCTATAGTCATATGAAAAAATGCTCTAAATCACTATTGATTAGAGAAATGCAAATCAAAACAACTCAGAGATACCACATCACATCTATCAGATTGGCCAACATGACAAAACAGGAAAATGATAACTGTTAGAGAAGATGTGGGAAAACTGGAACACTAATGCATTGTTGGTGGAGTTGTGAAATAATCCAACCATTTTGGAGAGCAATTTGGAAGTATGCCCAAAGGGCTATAAAAATGTGCATACCCTTTGACCCAGCACAAGCACTTCTAGGGCTATATCCCAAAGAGATCAGACAAATGGGAAAAGGACCCACATGTACAAAAATATTCATAGCAGCTCTTTTTGTGGTGGCAAAGAATTGGAAATTGAGAGAATACCCATCAAATGGGGAATGGCTGAACAAGTTGTGGTATATGAATGTGATGGAATACTATTGTGCTGTAAGAAATGATGAACAGACTGACTTCAGAAAAACCTGGAAAGACTTGTATAGTCTGATGCTGAGTGAAGTGAGCAGAACCAGGAGAACATTGTACACAGTAACAGACAACGCTCTGCAATGACTAATATTGATAGACTAAACCCTTCTTAGCAATACAAGGATCTAAGAAATGTCCAAAAGTCTCATAATGGAAAATGCTATCCACAAAGAAGAATGAACTATGGAGTTTGAATGCAGATCAAAGCAGACTATTTGCTATTTTTTTCCTTCTGTTGTGTTTTGTTTCCTCTTTCTGGTGGTTCCTCCTATTGGTTCTAATTCTTCCCTACAACATCACTAATGTGAAAATATGTTTAATAGGAATGTATATGTATAGCCTGTATCAGATTGCGCGCTGTCTTGGGGAGAGAGGGGGAGAAAAATTTAAACTTCAAAAGCTTATGGGGGCAGCTAGGTGGCGCAGTGGATACAGCACTGTCCCTTAAGTCAGGAGGACCCGAGTTCAAATCCAGCCTCAGACCAAACACTTGACACTTACTAGCTATGTGACCCTGGGCAAGTCACTTAACCCCAACTGCCTAAGGCAAAAAAAAAAAAAAAAAAAAAAAAGCTTATGGAAGTGATTGTTGATAATTCAAAATAAATTAATTAAAAATTTTTTTAAAAGTACAACTAAAAGAAAGCAATATCTTCGCTATGCAACAGAAACAGTTTATCTCTCAGAGAGCAGGTTGCTAGTTATTTGCAAGGCTGTTTTAATGAACACAGCTGTAGTGAAATACCATTTACTGAAGTCAATTTGCAGAGAATGGTCCACAGTGAGATCTGTAGGGCAGGCAGGATGGACATTCTTAGGATCTCCCCCAAGACTTTTCACTGCTTCTCTCATAGCAGCAAAATCCACCATCGCTGGTATCCCACTAAATAGGACAAAAAACCAAAAACCAAACAAAGGAAAAGAACAATCAATTCTTCAACTAGAGTTAAAATGAATAAAATACTCAAGATGTAAATAAAACACTAAGGCCCAGTACAAATTATCAAGGAAAATATCTTTAAACTGTGTCTGTTCTTATATCCTCAGCTTTAAAATACCTCTTCATTGGGCATTCATTCTGAACCACAGACTCACTGGTTATCCAAGGAGATTTTCTGCTTGGCTCCACAGTATAGCACCAAGTGGACTGGACTTTGAATGAGAGGACCTGGGTTTGAATCCCAGCTCTACTATTATGTGACCCTGTGCAAATTGCTTGCCCTCATCTCATCCATCTAACCAGGAGATGGGAATGAAGTCCCTTCCAGTTAGGATCCTATTCATTAGAATGTAGTTTCTCACATTTGTCCCCCACACCGGTCCCACTCCTTTCTATCCCCCAGCCTCTGTGACTGTCCAGTCAATGACTGTGACGTGACATTTCTCGTGCCAAGGTTCAAAATTATCTCAGAACTCCCCACAAGTCCCAAATGTCCTACACACTTTAAAGTTTCACAGGAGAAAGCTACTGCTGGTTATAAAGGAGGTAGAACAAAAGGCGGTGTGTTGTTTACACTTTAGGCCCCCTCCCAGGAATCTCTAACTAGTAAACTGTATGGGAAAAATCTGAGCCACCATGTGCCTTCCCTTGTTCCAGAAGAGGGAGCTGTGGCATGGAGCCTTTAAGCCAAAGTCTGTTTTTTATTTTTGTTTTGTTTTTTACTTTGTTTGCAAATCATCTCATGGTTAAAAGTCCTACACGTTACCTCAGCATCCTGACATTGTCAATGAATTTACAATGCTTTCACATTTTCATTCTCAAAGCTGGTAGTACAGAGTGTTCATGCCAAAATGTAAGAAGTGAAAAGGAAGTCTGATTTTAATAAAATATTTCAGTTCAGAAAATGCAATCTTATTGTTTACAGGTCAAGATAAAGTAAGGAAAAAATGTCTACCAGTGATCCTAAACAGAATACATTTTCATAATATGCATTAGTCAAGAGTATATATGACTTACGTAAAATCTTGAAGGAGAACCCGGGCAGGGAGAAAGGGCACTTCAACATTGTTCTGTTTATTCTTCCAATCTAAAATATTCATAACATCTTCCTTTTTTACTAGGAAGCCATCACAATTTCGAACGGCGGCTTCCAGCAGTACCCGTATGGAATAAGGCAGAGCATCTGGGGTGAGAGAAAATCATTCAATTAGCTAAGGAGAGATTAGCTTTAACTGTGTCTCAAAAAAAAAAAGAAAAGTCAAGTAAGAAACCCTGGAGAACACCACCACCTACAGGGTGATTTTCTTACTAAGAGAAAGATCTTTGTGGCCTCCCTAACAAGGACACCCAAATTCAGCTTCCACAAAGCTTGGGCTCTAAAGCTAACATTCCATGTTTCCTAAGCTTTTCTCTGGCAGCCTCATTAACTAAATTTAATTCACAGTTCTTAACAAGCTTGGTTATCTGGGTTTCTCAGCCCACAACAGATTAAAAGCAGCAATTCAAAAAGGGATGAAGCCAGAGTTAATAAAGGCTGCCCCAATGAAACAACATGAAAATGAAAGTAGAAACCAAAACACACAGAACTGTATTACTACAGAATACAATAATGCTGTGTAATACACGTTCATAATAATGACACAGAACAGTTTTTTTTAAGGTTAAACTGCATTCAGCACTTGTGTTTAAGAAGTCAAGGAAGTGTGTATGTTTTTTTTTTTTTTTTAAAGATTTGCATCTCAAAATTGATCAAGTTAAAAAAGTTTCAATGTTCAAAAGGGTAAGTTTCAATTATCCAGAAAAAATTAAGTGGAATACCTTAGTTATTAGCAATACAAGAAATATTACTGTAAGAAGTTTCACTATTTTCAAAGATTACCTCAAATCTCATTTTTTTGGGTAGTAGATTTTGCTATTTCTCATAAATCTCAATCTGTTTACAAGTTTTAAATAAGATTTTAAGGAAACCCTAAAGGAAGTCACAGACTCAGTACTCTAGGAAAGAAAACCCTAGAAGTGTGCATTTTGGGGATAGGGGAGGTAAAAGAGGAAGAATAAATTATCATATTTGGTTAATTATGAGAAAAACATATAAGGGCATACATATAATAGTAAAAGAACAGCTCTTTCTCTTCAGATTTTTGAAACACACAATCTCAGAGAATATATTACTTTTTAGTTGAAATATTTTCAAAGAGAAAGAACCTTACCTAATCATAATATGCTAACAAGGCAATTTAATACCAAAGCATATTACTTGGACTACTGAGGCTATCTTATTTCATTTCTTAATACAATGACTGCTAGAGGCCTGACTGCAATGAGACCTCCCTTAAACATTTTTTTTCTGCTCTTCTGTCTTCTTTCTATATCATTTCTTCTATTTCTTCCTTCAGTTTTCTGTCTTCCATCTTCCTCAGAAGTATTCTTTCACCCCTCTCCCAAAATCTCTCCCTTCCTCATTCCACCCTTAATATCTGGCTCCAACTCCCAGTTGACTGCCAAATCAAAGACTTAAGACTATAATCAAAGAAGTCCAAGGCCAGAATACACAGAAATGCTGAGGCTTTCTCAAGCAAGCCTCTAACATGTTTGATTTCCATGCAAGTGTGGCTATCTAGAAAGGAGTAATGATTTAATTCTACTCCTAGGCTGTCCTTCATTTCTCTTCCCCTTCAGGCCCTCACCCAAAAAAAAAAAAAAAAAAAAAAAGAAAGTCAAAAGCAATAGGTAAGGACTGTCAAGGCTGAGTGAGGGAAGCACAACCCCAGGTGTTTTGTCACCTCCCTACCATCCTTAATCTATTACCACAAGAATAATTAGCATTTATGAGGAATTTCTAAGCCCTTGACTATATACACTGTCACTGGGAAGTAAATGTTACAGGTAATATTATCCCACTGTATATTAAAACTGGCTCAAAAAACTTAAGTGACTGGCCCATGGCTAGTAAGTACAGTACTGGAAAGTAAATACAGCTTGCAAGTATTGGAAAGTAAGTACTTACAGCTTGCAAGTACTGGAAAGTAAGCACTTACAGCTAGCAAGTACGGGAAAATAAGTACTTATAGCTTGTAAGTCCAGCCCTCTCCACTATGCCAGTCTCTCACACTTCTTTTCCATATAACACTGCAAGTCATGATACAGACATATTACACATATCATCATGAATCTGGTTGAAAGAGCATGAATAAAAGACTTAGGTCTGAGCTACAGCTCTGCCAAATGAGAGCTAATGTGTAACTTTAAGCAAGTAAGTCATTTCACTAGTTCTGATGTGTATCCTCATCTGAAAGGGGGTTCCAAAATAGTGTACAGCTGAAGTGCCAAACTCTCAGTCAAAAAACCCCCAAGTTCAAACCATATTAAAATGTAATGGGAAATGTTTTAACAAAATAAATATACAGCACAGATAATTTATGGTTTTCTAAGTCAGAGGTGTACAGTACCCCTCAATTTAATTTTATATGGATTTTCTAATTTAGAAAACAGATAAGAGCAATACTTCACCTTTCTGAGAAGGTTTCCAGCTTACAGTTTTTATTACAACCAATATGTAAGGCCAACAGGGATAAGGATTGCTAGCCTCATTTTCTACCAAGGCCTTATGTCACATTCAATCCAGGTTTCTCTAGGCTGTTCTCTTCTTTCCTCGCTCTTAGTTTATCTCCATGCCAAATGTTATCATTCTCATTCATGTCTCTCTCTTTTTGTTCAAGCTATTACATAGCTAGGTCTAATAAAATGTGTTCCCTCTTTCCATCAAAATAAGTCTTCCCAGTAGCTTAGCTTTGTACTTTTTCCTCCCCAAAGGCTTCTAAATACTCTTATCTTTTCATCTACCATAAATTCTACTGCAGAAACTGCATTTCTGGTTAGAAAGCTAAAATTCTGCACTTTATTATATTTATAAAAATTTATTTACTGTATTTACATTTTATAAGTTTTGTTGATGCCTTGTTCTTGTACCATTCATTTCTGGATACAGACCCACCCATCCCATGCAAACCAAATTGGACCTTCCCTTGTAATTAAGAAAAAACAAGCACTACACACAATGACAAAATGCAACATTGCGTGACAGAGGTGGTGTCTCATGTCTTTCTTTTCTTTGGTTTTCAGGCAGGTAAACTAAACTATCAACTCTTTAGGATAAGGTCTCACATTTCTTTGCATGCCTTGGTGCCTTTTTGGGGGGCTAAACACATTTACTGATTGAATTTTAGTTTATCTCAATTTGCCTTTAACTGGCTTATATTTAGATTAAATCTATTAGGATTCACATGTGTATACTTGTCCATCGGCAGACAAGTCACACATCCAGAGTCAAACAAATCCAATACAAATTCAAAACCACCTGTTAACATTGAAAAGCTTTTGGGCTACTGCTTTGGATTTTCACCATAGCTAATTATTTTGTTACATCTGACTTCTTAGAAGCAGAAAATATATTTCTGCTTTATTAATAGCCTTTTTTCAAAGTACATTGCCATGTCAGTTGGTTTTCAATGACATTCAATAATTCTCAGCAATGTGTAAGGACAGACTGAAAATGGGCACATTTTTATATATGCACAAAAGATATGGAACCTTTTAACATACAGAAGAATCAAATGACTCAAATTATATACATTTAATTATATATATACATATATGTGTATATATATATAGTGTTTAAATACCTGTTAGAATAAACAATTCTGGTTTAACAAAAAAAAAAAAAAGCTTTCACACTGAGTTCAGTTGCTGGTATACAGGTAATCAAAGATCTTTTGTGCTTCCAGTAGATTAGAATATTTTGAAAGAAAAATGTACATGTTCTCCCACTTTCTGACACAAATTGTTCACAGCAAACCAGAAAAGAACAAAAAATTCAGATGAAATATGATTACTATATCCTTTTAGTTTTAAATTTGCTAGCATCCTTTCACTAATGTGAAGTGCTCATCAAAAATATTAACCCAATACACAAATCATGGCAACTAAGAATGCAAGATGTGACATCCTTTGTTTGGTTTGACATTTTACACATGAATCATGTTAAAATGACAACACTGCTCATCGATTACAGATGTACAGCTGAGAGAAACCTCAGAGATCACTTGGTCCAACTTCCTCCATTTACAACTGAGGAAATCGAGGTCTTGTCTGAGACCCCTGGCAGCCGGGTTTTGTGCCCAAATCCTGAGCCTTTTCTGCATTGCCCTCCCCACTCTCCTCTCTCTAAATGGGAGATCTTGTAAGGTGCCTCAGAATATTTAAATCCTCTCATTGTACCAGGATGACGCAGCATTCCTGAATAAGTCAGAGTCAGGGATTTAAATCCAATATAATGTCCAGACAAACCACAGAGACAATTCTGTTAATTTAGTTAATCACAAAGAACAAAGGGGAGGGGCATCCCTCTGTGGCCACCTGCCAACATGCCCGAAATCAGGCCAGCACCATTCTCTTTGTCTCCTCTGGTTCCACACAAACTCAGACATGGAAATCCTCTCCCTACACGGATCTTCTGTCCCTTGCCCAGTAAACTGCCCCATCTTCTGTGACCCAATTAGCTTCACTAAATTTTGTGACCACAGATAATACCTGCATTCCCTGCTAGGTGCCTTGCAAATACAATTCATTGGTGACTAGGGGGATCATAAGGAAAGGTATAGTGTGATCATCCCAAAACTATGACCTACTGTGGAAAAAGAATTCGTAGTTTTCAATTAACAACCATGGATTTATTAAAAGTCTACTGTGTGCAAAAGATTGTGCTAGGTGCTGGGAAAATCATACAAATATTAGGTAAGATAATCCCTTGCCTGCCCTCAAGAAGCTTACACTTCTTATGGGGAGAGATAACACAAAATACACGATATGCAGAAGAGGTGTGCAAAGTGAGACCGCAGATAGGGGGAGGGACAGGAAGGCTTTTCACGGGGGAGGTGGTATCTGAGTTGGGTTTTAAACCATAGGGAGAAATGGGGGGATTGCCAGTAGTATCATCTTCATATAGAGAGTACTAAAGGACAACCTGTCAAGACACTTACCACTGAAAACATCAAACTTCAGAAAATGAAAATACTCATTTAATAGAACATCACTTATGAGCTCACTCAAACTTAAAAAAAAAAGGCAGTTATCTCTTTTAGTATAGAGTGTTCAGCTTAACCTGAAGGTTTAAAATTGAAAGGTTTACCCTTTCTGGAAGGCAGTCTCAGAAAATTACATATTAAATATTAAGCAAGATATTGTGCATTATTATAACCATAATGGTGCACATAAAGTATATACTTTCCTCATTCTGAATATTGAGGTTATTAAATAATCAAACCCAAAACATCAAACAGTAACATTACCATACTTGGTGCCTCCAAGTTTAGGAAGATTGAAGAACTTGTTATCTGAACTCTCATTTAGGGCTTCAATAAAGTCCTCAAAGGCTCTTCCTGGAGAGGAAAAATATAAAAAAGTTATATACTTCCTCTTATTTATTGTAAGCTGTCACACAAACACTGTAACATTCTGAAGTCAGCATCTAGGTTTCTAAAAGATTGAGTTCCTTAAAATAAAATACTACCTCTTTCCAAGGTAACAGCTGAGACAAGATAAGAGATCTGATCCTTACTTTAGTGTGTTTTAACAAAGACTTACTTAGACACTGGCAAGGAGAGGTTCAGGAGACTTTGGGGAACTTCACACAGAGAACAGAAAAGGTGGCAATGACCTTAGCAGGAATTCTAATAATGGAATGAGCTTCATTAATCTAAACTTCTCAAAGAAAGACTGTCTTGTGCTGAAAGCAAAGCAAACTGGCCAGGCACAGTGTGAAGCGGCCTATCCTTGGGGGGGAGTCACCAGCTTTTTTAAGATCAGGAGCTGACTGGTCTCCTCGTTGGTACAAAGTCCTTGGCAGAGGTCTTCTGTACAGACTCACTGTTCATGGCAGGCTGTAACCCCTATATAGTTGTGCCCTCCATCACTGGCAAAGCAACAACAATAATGACAACAATCATAATGAAAACCAAACCCAAGGAGACCTGCAGTTCCACCAGGGTCAGAAGAATTCTGATTCTGAATCCCCTGCACAAGTCACTAGCCCTGTCCAGGTCACTGAACCACGGGGATGACAATAAAACCCACATGCCCTACCTCGTAGGGCTGTTATAAGGGAAGTCCAGTCACCCGGTAAACTGTAAGGAGCTAGAAAAATGGGTCAGTCTTAGGACCAGGCCAACTAAATGTGGAAGAGGCTCAGCACTAAGTGATGGATTTTTCTGATCTCCCAAGGTGAGCAGTCTACATTACTGGAGAGAGCACCCAAACATCTCAGACCCTTCCATTCAGGCCAACAAACATTAAGTACCTACTACATGTGAGGCACTGGGATATACAAAAATTTTAAAAAGACACAGCCTTCCCGAGAGGACACTCACAAAATATAACACTGGGGTTAATGGGGGCAAAGGAGAGATACAAAGGGGTTTGTTTTTTTGGGGGGGGTTTTGTAAGCTACACTAAGAAACGTCAAGTGCTTAATGATGCTGGAGGAATGGGTATGAAGATCTGAGGTGCCAATGAACACTTCAACGTTAAGGTTGTCTCCCCTCTTAGATTACAAGCTCCTTGAGGGCAGGGGCTGTCTTTTACCTCTTTTTGTATCCCAAATGCTTAGCAGGTGGCCTGGCACATAGCAGGAGCTTAACCCGTGTCTGCTGATATCGAATGAATTTAATTAGCGCTTGTTGATTGGCTGAAGGAGAGAACCAGGAAGCGGTGACTGTGGCTATTCGGTCATTCAAAGTGCATTTATTAAGTCACTGCTGTGTAGCCAGGCACGCAGGTGCTGGACAGCCCCTGACCGCAAGGAACTCCTAATCTACGGAGGGAACAACAGCTCCCAGGCCGCAGCCCGAGAAAACGGGGACGATGCACGGAGGGAAGGCTCCGGAGGGGATGTGACGAGGGGCCGGCCCGGACTCGGGAAGCTCTTGGCTCAAGCTCGGCCTCGGCCGCTCACTAGGTCTGTGACCCTGGGCCAGCTGCTCTTGCTCGCTCCCAGCCTCAGTTCCCCCATCTGTCAAACGAGATGACACATGGCACACGCCCAAGGCCCGAGATTGAAGAGATAAAAGGGGAAAGGTGGCTTGACCTGAGGGGGTTGCCTTCCCAGGGCCGGGGGCAAACCCCAAGGCGCTTCACAAATCCTAGGACCGCCGAGGAACCGGAGGAGCGACGCGGGTTCGGGAGGGGGAGGGGGGCGGAGGAAGGAAGGACGGACCGACGGACGGCCGGCCCAGGCCTGCGCGATGACCGATGCGCCGCCCCAGGGCAGGGCCCGCTCCGGCGGCGGCCAGGGGGCCGGGGGCAGCGGTGCCTCTCCCGCTTCCCGAGGGAACAGGCCCGGCGCGGCCTGCGAGGCCCCGGCGCCCGAAGGCGGAGGCGGCCCCGGTCCAGCTCGCAGTGCGGAGCGCGGCCCGAGCCCGGGGCCCGGGAGCGGCTCGAGGCGGGGCCCGTGCCGGGCAGGAGGACGCGGGGCCGGGGCCGGGGCCGGCGCGGACTGACCTGCACTGGGGGCGTCCATCGCCGGCGACCATATTCTCCCGGCGGGGAGGGGAGGGTAGCGGAGCTGAGGGGAGGGGGGATCCCGGAGGGCAGGGGGAGAGCCGCGCAAACACCGCGAGAGCTGCCGCCACGGCCACAGCCACAGCCACGGCCCCCTCGTGCTCCCCCCCGCGCCCGGCTCCCGCGAGACCCTCCGGACGTAGGAACAAAGAAAGCTAAGCGAACGGGCGAGCGAAGGAGGAGGCGAAAGCTCGCGAGAGGTACCACGACTGTAATCTCGCGAGCTTTGGGCGAGCCCGGGACCCGAGCACACATGCGCTCCTTCGAGGAAGCGTGGCTCCAGGAGCGACCCGTAGCGGAGCCCCGCCCCCGCCGCGCCGAAGCCGCGTCCCGAAAAGGCGGGCGGGATGTCATGTCTTCAGGGGCCGCTGGGGGCGCTGCCCCCGCCCCGTCCCTGGAAAGCGAGCGCCCCTCCAGGCTTCAGCTACACCACACGGTTTGTGACAGCTCCGGCTGCCCCACCCCTTTTACAGCTGGGGAAACTGAGGCCCAGAGAGCCTCAGGAAAGCAGGGATTCCAGCCCAGTCTCCAGGCTCCCCTCGAAGACCGTGAGCCAGCATTTAATAAGCGCCTGCTGTGTGCCGGTCCAACTCCTGCCCCCAAGGAGCTGGCCGTCTTCCAATGGATGTAGTTTGTTAACCTGCATTCATTAAGCACCTGCTGTGTGCCAAGCTCTGTGCTAAGTCCTGGGGATACAAAAAGAGACAAAAAACAAACGGTTCCTGTCCTGGAGGAGCTCGTAGCATAGTGGGGGAGGGGAGGGGTAGCTGACCACTGTGTGAACAGGTCGGCCCAAGTGGGGGGAAGGGGTACTGGGAAAGACTTCCTGGTCTGGCCGGAGGGCACGGCCAGGGTAGAGGCTCGGAGTGGGGAGATGTGGATTAGTGCGTAGATTGCACACTGCGCAGTGGGATGGAGGCTTAGGAAGGACTTCCCAGCCCGCAGGATGGTCCCTTCCATCCCGGAGGCAGTAGGGAACTGATGGGGTACGGGTCCAAGCCGAGACCTTTACCCTCACCCCAAAAAGAATCTGGGTCCCATTGTCTGAGGGATTCTCCTTGACTTCTCCCACTTGATCCAGGAGGTCTCTGACTGCCCGGAGTCTATGGTCCCATCAGCTGGCCTTTCATTATAGCTAGGCCCAGTATCCCAGTTCTGTTATCCTTAACCTAGCCCAGCCCGCCAGTGTCTATTACCTCCCGATGGCCCCTGGCCAGGTCCCACCCTTGGCCCTGTCTACATGCCATCTTCACCACCGCCACCACCCCCACCTCCTCCCCCGCTCTCAACCTCTCAGTCACTGCCATCAAGATCCTTCCCAGGTCCCTCCCACAGGCTTTCCTTCTCTTCTCCGTTAAGGTGCTCAGATTCCTTAAGAACCTAGCCCATAGCTCACAAATGTTCAGATTCCCTGAGAGTCTGGCCAATATGGCGGGTCTTTAATAAACCTTGTCTCTGGCTGAAAGAAGGCTCGGGTCGAATTCTTTTGGGCAGGATCCGTGTCTCTTGCTCTCAATATTTTGGGGTCCCAGTACCCCTAAAACCCTAAATCTCAACCTGTGGTTCCCTGACCGGGAAGAACTGCCTAATCCCAAGCTCTTCCTCAGCCAAGACTGGAAGGTACATATTCCCTTTCTTGCTCTGCAGTTGGTTGATTTCCAACCAACTAGGAAGGCTTGGCTCCAAAGTGCTTTTCTGGCCTGACCGCTCAGGCCCCATGAGGTCAGACAGCTACCAGGCTGTCTCGAACTCAGCCTGACGCTCTCAGGCTCTTGGTCCAGTGGTTCTGTTTGACCGTGGACCTGGGCACACCTTCGGACTCCCTATCTGGAAGTGTAGGCCCAATCCTCTCAATTCTCTCAGTGCTAGGGACTTGGTAAACTTCAGGAACTTTTTGGGGCTTTTGGTTTTTTTATTTGTTTCCCCGAGGTTTATTCCCAAAACCTTTAAGGAGGAAGGGACTCCCAGCCTCCACACCCACAAAGGGTCAATCCTCTTCAATTCCCAAAGATTCACCTTTGGGCTGTCTTTTACAAAATTGGGAAAAATTTAGTTTCTCTGAAGAACTTAGAAAGAAAAGGCTGATGTTCTTTTGCAACACTGTTTGGCCTCAGTATCACCTGGAAAATTACGAGGCATGGCCCATTTTGGGGACATTACAGCAACATTCTCAGAGTTAGAAAGATATTGTAGCAGAGAAGGAAAATGGGTGGAGATTCTCTACATGATGACTTTTGTCAAACTTTTCCGTGACCCCATTCTCAGAAAAGATTGTAGGATGCTCCTAGCTAGAGCCGCCCCACAAATGGAGAATGGGGATCCTAGACTTTTTGGATGACCCTCTTATGGCCCCCAGTGCTAGAGCATCCCTCTTCCCATCCTCCATTAACACCACCACCCCAGTTCCTATCTCCACCCTATTTTCCCCTTACCCTTCTTGTTTCCCATGCCCCCCCCTTGGTTTTCCTTCCCTTTTCCTGTGGCCCACCCCCCTCGTGTCCTGCCTTGTTCACCTTCCACGATCCTACCCTGCATTTCCTCCCCAGGACCTTTACCCTGAGGCAAGGACCCCCTAGGCCCTGGCCTCAGCCCCAGTCTCAGTGGTATCTCCTCCCCTGACCTGTCCCCCTCCTCCTGTGCCAGCTGATTTTACTCCTTGCTAGCCGGATCCCCTAGCTTTGTAGTCCAGTTCAGTTCAGCCAGCATTCCCCGGTCCCTTAGTCACAAGAAGTCACAAGACTTCCTATCCCACCTCCCCCTAGCCCCAGTTCCCACGGTGCCTTCAGGGCTTTTTCCTCTAAGGGAAGTTCCTGTCTTGCCTAATGGGACAATTGGGGTGCATGTTCCATTTTCCATTTCAGACCTCATTCAGATTAAAGGGAAACTGGGGCAATACTCAAAAGATCCCACTAAGTTTACTGAGGGCTCAAGCTTTCTTAGGGTAATCTGCATGTCCTTTTGTCCACCTGTTGTACCACTGAGGAGAAGAGGAGAATCTAGGAACAAGCCCCAAAATTTGGGAACTGTTTGACTAGCAATGACCCCCAAAATACCCCCCAGGAACAGCTGCTATTCCCACTACTGACCCAGGATGGGATTATCAGAAGAGTGAGGATAGGGGAAAGAGAGACTATATGGTAATTTGCCTGTTAGAATTTGCCTAAGAACTGCATTTCAAAAGCAAGTGAATTTTCAGAAAAATAAGGAAATTACTCAGGGAACCATATGTTGAGGTTTAGGGGCTTAGGGGTGCTGAGACCCCAAAATATTGAGAGTGAGAGACACGAATCTTACCTGAAAGAATTTGACCCAAGACTCAGACAAGGTTTATTAACAACGACCAAGCGGGCTGGCCTGCAACCCAATGTTGGCCAATCAATTAAAGATCAGCCTTAACCCCAAAAATCTGTGGTATAATTCTGAATAATATATTAAGGAAGGCTATTAAGGAGAGTGTGGGGTCATAAGGTGTCATGCCTAGGGCTATTTCAATTGAACTGGTCTTTCAAATTGATAATCACTTGTAAAATCCTGGAGGGGAGGAAGGGAAGGAAAGCACAAAAGTGGGAGGGATAAATTAGGGGAGGGTAGATCCGGCTTCTGGACAACAGAATGAATGAAATTACTTCATTTACGCTAAGGCCACAGAGCTACCCTCCTGAAACTGTTGCCTTCAGTAGCAGATTTGGACAGGTCCAGATATTCATGATAATATCAGAACTAATGATAGCTTACTATGTGTTGGGCACCATGCTGAGTGTTTTACAATTATTATCTCATTTGATCCTCACAATAACCTTGAGAGGTTGGTGCTGTTATCCCCATTTTACAGATGAGGAAACTGAGGTTAAGTGACTTCTTCAGAAGTCACAGCTAATAAGTATCTGAGGTCAAGATTTCAACTCAGGCTTTCCTGACTCCAGGTCCCACACTATCCAGTAAGCTACCTAGCTAAAGAAACAACAGCTCCAATCTGGGTTATGCTTTAACCTTTCATTATAACAGCCCTGCATGGTAGGTACCACCAGCGCTATGTGCTTTTTACAGATAAGGTAACTGAGGCTCTGGAGAGACATAGTGACATTTTCTCTTACAGCTCTTGAACCAGTGAACTTGCCATAAAATTTATATGGGTAAGTTTATCTAGTAACACCAGAAGGTCAATCACTAGGTGGTGAACTTTTATGGCTACAGTAACTAGTGAAACAATCTGTTCAGCACGAAGTATCTGCAGTCTGCACTAATTTCCACTGGTGGGGGTAGATCCTCCGGAGAATTTTGGAAGGATATGAACATAAGGTGAGAAGGCATGGTTGGGTTACAGATGGCATGTGGCGGGTAAAGAGAGTAAATATCATTGAAATCACAGAACCAAAATATGGCATTTACTCCATGTTGTGAAGTTTTTTTTGTAGTTGAGAGAGGAGTAAAAATTATTTTTGGTGATAGGACAGTCAAAAGTAAAATGACACAGGAATTCACTTCTGACCACTACCTTCCTTAGTCTTCCTTGCTGTTATCATCTCCCTTCCTTCATTCCGTTTCTCTTACTCTCTTCCCCTCCTACTTCCTAGTTGGGTAAGATAGATTTCTATACCCAACTGAGAATGTCTCTGTATTCTCCCCTCTTTCACCAATTCCTATGACAGTGAGGGTCAAGTATTGCTCACCATCACCCTTATTTTCCCTTGCACTGCAAAAGCTCTTCCTTACACGCCTCTTTTATGTGACATATTTCCCCCATTCTTCCTCTCCCCCCTTCTCCCAGTACATTCCTTTCTCACCTCTTCATTTTTTTTTTGAGATCATCCCAAAGTAATCAACTCATTCCCATGCCCTCTGTCTATGTAGACTACTTTTAACTGCCCTAGTAACAATAAAATATTTAGGAGTTGCAGGTATTATCTTCCCATATGGGAATATAAACAGTTTAACTTTTTTTAAGTCCATTATTTCTCTTTCCTGTTTACCTTTTTATGCTTTTCTTAAGTCTTGTGTTTGAACATCAAGCGTTCTATCTAGCTCTGGTCTTTTCATCAGAAATGCTTGAAAATCCTCTATTTCATTAAATATCCATTTTTTCCCTGAAG